AGGAAGAGAGAGAGGGAGAGTGAGAGTGAGTGAGATGCGTGTTGGAAGAAGGAATGGAAGAGAGCATCTAAAGACTAAAAACACACCGACACTTTCTGACGCTGAGTTAGCGGCACTATAAAAAGGCAGCAATCAACTACACACGCAACACAAAGAAAGAGCTCTAACAAAAATGTTACCGAAATAAAAACCGTAGCGAACAAAAAAATAACAACAACGAAGACGACGACGATGAAGACGGCGACGACGACGACGACGACCATAGAAGAAACTGTAGCAAATTCGGTGGAACGGCGATGAAAAATCCAATGACCATGCAAAATGTGATACGTAATGCAATTTTACTTACGACAACGCTTTTTTTTTCAGCGACGCATTTGCTACTTTATTTTATTGTTATATTTGACGTGTATTGTATTAAAAACAGAGAAAGAAACAGTGGATGTTTACTGCTTAAACTGCGCTTTCTCGTCATTCGGACTTCTTGTTCCTGTAAATAAATTGGTTTGGCAACGTTTTTATTTTGAATTTTTATGCCGTACTCGTCCCTTTACATACACCATCGCACATTTCATTCACTAGCGCAATCACCCCAACCAAAAACCAATACAAAATGTACACAATATTTCGCATGCCGTTCACATGTTGAACGACTTTTATATTATTTTCAACAATTTGATGGCAAGTGTCAGCGCTAACAACAGATAGGCGCCTTTGAATTTCGCCAAAAAGTCATAAAAACTCAAAACAAATTTTCGGCAGCCTTTATTTTCACACCTTTTATATTAAGTTTTGCGTATAACCGAGAGAGAAATGCAGCCAGAGGTCGACTGCAGTAACAGCTAGTACTCATTTCATATCGAAGTGTCTCAATTTCGTTTTTACAACAACATTGTTTTCGATAATCTTATTCGAAATAACGACTAAAGTAATTGAATTATAAAGTGACACACTGAATTTCATGCTACTAAACTATCAAATATTTGATCTACGATGCCAAATATTTGCAGTAACGACGTCTTTTTAATCTTTTAATTTAATTTCATGTTATGAACTATCAAAAACCAAAGATGAACATGCGACCCAATAAATGTGTAATGAAGTTAGTTGATAATTTTATTGAATCGAAAGAATTCATCATCTTACATGTCATCTGTCTTCTTGCAGTTGATTTATTTCACTCAAGTTTGTCAATCATTAATCTCAAAATAAAATTCGTCATCATTCATTTCATACATTGTTATGTTCCGCTATTTTCAATTGTTCTCACATTCTTTATGTCTCTTTTGTTTTTGCTGACTGTGCTAAAGTCACACTTAAATCTATACCAAATTGCAATTCTACATGACTTCGTGGAATGAATGCATGTCATGGAGTGAAAAAAAGTGTAATCATTGAAGGCGACAACTGATGGAATGTGAGTCTTGTTTTCGTAATGCATCAACGTCGAAATGAAGTTGTTTGTTGACACATATCTTTCGAATTCGTTGATTTTGATTTAACCACCGAAAGTAATCCATGTTTTTTTTCTTTGCAAAATCACATTTTTAATATTTAAACATGAAAGTGTTCCATCAAAATCGACATCAATAATTGTCGATTGCATTTTTTTCGTATCAAAGCGTATCGGCACCAACGCATAAACATTTCGGATTTCATACAAAATCGTCATAAATCGGCAGTAGGTTAGTCGAGCTACATCATACGACCTTAGTGCGGTTGAACTCATCAAAATTTCATATTTGGAAAACAGAATCCCCATTTTTTGAATGCAGTCGATCTTGCGATTCTTCCTTATTATTATTTTTTTTCTGACATACTGACATATAAAAATTTAAATGGAAATGATGATGACGTACACAGCTAGCATAAAAAGGGTAGCAGGTAATGTGTCAAACTTTTTGATGATTGATAGAAATTATGCAATTCTGCCGCGCGATGAAAAACTACCGGTAGAAAAAAGAAACATTGGTGCTTCGTTGCATTTAACGGTATTCGGTGTTGCAGTTAAGAGGGCACAAGAAATCATAGCTCGCATGCAGCATGCAAACCAGCTACTTTTCCGCTGTCAGAGCGCAGTGAAAAACTAAAGTTTTTCAAAACCAACCAAAAGACCTTCAGAAATAAAAAACAATGTTCTTTCCCAATAATAATTTACTGCCTCAACCACGTCAAGAAATCGATTCACAATGTCAAAATTATATATGAAATTTAAATTTATTCAGATTTCTTTTTTTTTTACATCGATGATGACGGCGCTAGTTAGTTGCAAGTTTTGATTTCGTTTGATTGGTGTCAGTTGTAAGAATCGAAGAATGAAGTTTTAAAAAAGTCACGCAACTTTTCATATACAGTCATTCACATTTGAGATGAATTTTTTTTCCATTGATTTTTTGTAGGAAATAACAATCCATGGTTAAAGGGAAAATTATGTGAACTTTTTTTTTGAAAAAAGGATTCATTAAAGATGCCGACATTTCATTATATTTGATGCGTTTTCTCCTTTCAAGTAGCTTTACATCTTTTTCATATTAATATTAACGGGAATGGTTATGCAACTTATGACTGAGCATCTGAATGCTCTACTTTACTGTTATTACATTCAATCAAATTTCAATCATTCGCTCGCCTGACTGAATAAATGGGGTTTGAATTGCGATTGAATTACTCCGATTTTTTTTTGTACCACATAACAAAAATGTACATGCATATTCAACTGTGATCAGTTTTATTTCGATTTCCCGTTATCGCATGCATTCCCAAACTGCCGTTGATTTCGGATGCATTTTTAAAAAATCTTCAAGCTTCTAACTCACTGAACTGTTAAAATGAGCCAATCAAATGAGTATAATAAAAATTGGCCTTTTTTATTACAATCATTATGGCTGGACGAAACGAATTTTTCACATTCTCTTATGGTTTATTATTATGTTTCACAAGTTTGTTATTAATTTTTTAATTGATTGTGATTAGTAATATTGTGTATTCGATATGTTTTTTTGGCTGTTGCGCTTGCTTAAATTTGCTTGCCTTTATATTGGTTTCCGATTGAAGAAAAAACGTACGCCTCAGAGATTTATAAATCATTCTTAATTATACAGTAAATACCGTATCTTCCATCGCTCTCTCACAAATTAGAATAGATGAACATTTTGTGATAATACGATTGGTAGACAACCGATATTGTTGTGAAAATCGAACATGCTATTATATATTATTGGTTGATATTTTTATATTCCATCTCTGTGATTCGATTTCACATGAGCTGACATCAAATCAGCATTTTGATGTGACCCCAGCCAAATATCATCGTATCGAATCACACGATTTACGTTGAAAAAAAAAAGCATCGATTAAACTAATTTATTCATTGAAATCAATAATTATGGCGCGGTAAAACAACAGTCAACAAGCTTCGATAAAAATGTGAAATACACGGCGCTTCAAATGTTTATTCAAAGAGTCGCGACTGACAAACGTAGATATCAAATGTCATATTATTCGCGTTTACTAATTTAAAAACGTCCTTTTAATATCGATGGTAAAGATAAGATTTTCAATGCGATGCATCTAGCTGAGTATCTTCCATTGAATATGGCGTAAGTTTTACAATAAAAAACAAGCATTTATTGTTTCTATTGATATTCAAATGAAGGCGGCATTCAATAGATATAATTTGTACTGATGATATAGATCCAGTTTTGTTCCCGGAAAACATGATTACAAAAGAAAGTAGAATTGAAAAAAAAAACAGGTTCAGACAACGCTTAAAGGAAGTAACAAATCATGATCGCCGGCCAATTTTATGCAAATAGTAGTTTGGAAGGCGCTAATGCAATCGAATATTTCATTTTTATGCATATATTAGCAGTGTATTTCAAAATTCGACTTTAGCTTTATTGAAAAGTGGCAATTACACAGCTTCCTCTAACTTTACTCAAACCGAATTGCTTCTGCCTGTATATACGATACGGGCTATAAGTTCATATTTTATTCGGTTAATTCACCCCCTGCTGTGTATAGTAATCTATTTCCTCGTCTCTTGAATTCAATTCGGCAAAGCAAAAGGGATTTTATGTTATGGTGGCGAAGTGGATAGAGCATTTGATTTGTCTACGCTCAAAGAGAATTAAGAGAAAAGAAAATGGCAACAGAAATAAATATAAAACAAAAACGTAGACATTACAAACACAAAGAAATTCGTCAAGCACATATACGATGTATACGTTTTAAGAAGAATGGCGCCATCGTGATTTCCATTTTAACATCGACTGCATTGTTTTTCGGCTTATAAGCTGCACATGCACAATCCATCGATCTAACTAACGAACTTCACTTGCACAAATTGTGCATTTCTTATGGTGATTGTGTGTGTATGGTGTCTACGGCGCTGTGTGTCGGTGTTAGACAAGATAAAAAATGACCCATACGTTTTTGAAGAGCTTCAGGTGATTTCAATAAGAACAATGGAACGTTAGCGTCGTGGCGACATTGTTCAAGGAACGAATTTCAACATAGGTGTTATTTTTGACAATGATTTTCGATATGCATTTTGCTTTTCTATTCCACCTTACCTTTAACTCTTTCGATCAGTGGATTTTCTACGATCGGAAGAAGACTTATTTTACCATATTTATACTCAAGTGTTTTATAATCCACAAGCAATGGGCACTTTAGTATTCCATTGTGTGTTCTTTATCGATTAAGATTCAATGTCAGTTCAGTTTATCTTTCTATCGAACTCATTGCAGCTCAGACACACCAATTGCAAAAATAAAACAAAAACAAAATGCATACTTCAAATACTCCGTCTGACGTCGAACATTAAATATCAATTAGTCACCGATAATGACTTTGTATTCAAATTAGCAACACTTTTCACTCAAAAAAAGATCTTGTCGTTGAACCTTATACTTACAAGTTTTATGGCTCTTAATCCAGCATGTTGTCGTGTTTGTGTGTTTTTTTATTTCTTAAATGAAACCACAATTTTTTTTTGCTACAAAAAGACGTCCTTTTTTATTTACTATTATATTTATCCGATTTAAAATGTCGCGGTTTTAATATCTCTAGGAACTGTGTTTTGATTTTCATTGCTACTACTTTGTTTACTACTGCCATCGATGCTACTTTTATTGTTCAACGTAATACGTATGATACGTGATGTGTCTGCGCTACCGGGTCTGCTTATTACAGGCATAGAACAGTCTAGCGAATCATTTTTTTCGCCGTCAACATCTTCAGTGCACGGAATCTCAAAATTCTTTGTTAAATTGCCGAACGAATCCATGTGATATTTGTCAAAACCCATTTCTAGCGCCGCTTCATCTAAACATGGTACTGGTGTTAACAAAGGTGTTCTTCTTTCCATATCCATGATACACGCAGAGCATGCCATACATTCGTCATTCATTTTATCATCATTTCTCAGAATATCGTCGTTATCTTGATTTGGTGGTAGATTGGTGGTGCATAGATTCGAACTGGTTTCGGTGATTTCTTTACCACGCAACATTAAATCCGGTTTTGCATTGATTTTACACTTACACTGTTTGCTCGATGAATTGCGTTGAAATTTTTGACAAAACGATGGTGGCCGACGAAGATCACGCTTTACTGCAAGTGGAGCTAATGTTTTTGCTTCTGATGGTAAATAAAGTGTAACCACTATTAGCGGTGCACGATAAGACGATTGATGCGAATCATTCATCTTATTTTCGCTGATATCTTCATCCGATCTGAAATTTTTGCACAAAAAAAAAATCATCCGATCATTAAATTCGTGTAGGTAGTAATCATCTATCTATCTAGATCAAATTTGATATTTTTCCCAGATTTTTCTATGAAGAACATAATACAGCCATAACTTATTCATTGAAACCATGAATATTTTGTACGTAACTATTGACAGATTTATGAAAATGCATGTGGTTTACTTGAATCACATGAGAAAATATGTGACCACAATATGAGCGCATCTCGCATGAGTCGACCATTTAAACGAATTAAAATCAAAAGAAGAAGCCCACTGTTAACTCGTTCGAATTGATTATATGGCAGAACCAAGATACATAGAAGAGAAAAAAGAAATTATCTTTAGTTTATGGCTGCATTTAAGATCGTTTTCATTAGATAATATTCATATTATCGCTTATAATTTGAATAAATTTCGTTGTCTCTTTCTCTTTAAAATCGTCTTCGACGAAATGAATTTTTATTGCAGCCGTGATCGCGTTGAAAGAAACATTTCAAGACAAAATATTACTGTTTTTGATTCTTGGTAGAAAATTTGTAGACTTTTTTTTCTTCATCATAATCAAATTTTGAGGTGAAACTTAAATAAACCGATGATTGAATGAATGCAACATTGTGAGTGATTATTTAAAATCATTTTCGCCGGTGTTTCAAATAGAAATTTCAATATTTTTCCAATTAATATGATTTAATTTAATGTGAATTTTAAGATTTGGCAAATGCCGATGTAAAGTGCGATGCCCAAGCCATTTTGACCCACACAAGATGGAATTCATAAAATTTATGTGATCATATTAAAGAGTTTGTTGCTTGTTATCGTTTGTTTAAAAAAAAAAACACAACCAAATCGCCTATTTGATTCTGTGAAAACACAAAAACACCGCGATTATCATCGATTTGCTTTCATCGCTCATTCGCTGCGAGAGATACATAAAATTTTGGAATTTTTAATATATTAATTACTAATTCGTATGTAAATGATCAAACATTTTGTGGAATATCGCATCATTAATTCAATTTACATCAGATATCATATCAGTTTATTGCTGTCTCAACAGCTCATGATCATAATGTTAATATCAAAAATAACATTTCTCCTAAATTTCACATGAAGTGACTCTATTTAGACACGGACGAAGAGAAAAAATATGTGTCGGAAAAAAACTTTATAACACTTCAGAGCAGACTTTGTTGCTTAGTTTTGATTAATCAACAGCTCTAGAGAGATGCGTAATAACTTAAATTTTATTCGTACCACACGTGTGTGCCGATTTGTGGTTTTGGTAACGCTTTAGGGATTTTATCAAAAAATCAAATTGTGAATAATTGTCGTAAGTAGAAAATGAAGTCAAATGATGCAATTGATTAATATCTAATTAAAAACATGCCAGATAAAAAAGAATTGATCATTTTCGACACTAATTCCCGAAAAAAAGACACAAAGCTACATAAATAGAATGGTAGATTTCTATTCTGATTGCACGAGCGTTATAGGATTTTCGATTTAAATTCTTTTCTAAACATGTAAATGAAGTTCGGAATACTAATGAGCACAGACTTCAATAGACACGATATGAAATTTCGTTTTTCGTCAACGCTACCAGGAATGAAAATACTAGTCGTTTCATGGAAACAGAAGACAATATTCGATGGTAATAGTAATTTAGATAACATCCTACAAAATAAAATTAAAAAAAATACACCACAAGCACGTTTCCAGTTAAAAATTTGTAGTATGCGTGCTGCTTTGTTTCAAACATACTCGTAACACGGTCACAGCGTTTAATTGCTTGAGAAAGATGAACGTCATAATTCAAGGCGTTTGACGTTTCCAACGAATAAAATAACGAATAGATATTGTGTTGGACATGGAGAGAAAACTGATACAGATACCTTATAATTATAAAGGAGTTCCAGACGATCAACGCACTATTGTTTTGATTTGAAGAAATGTGAAAAAAGAAAAAGAAAAAAACTAATTTCAATGATTCAAAGGAGCTGCTTGTTTTGAACATTTTATTTTTTATCTGACGCCAACCATTTTCAGAGAGTCGAAACAGGATTAAACGAAGAAAAAATGACTTCGAAAGTGTTTAGTTCTCAACAAAATTCATGTTATTAAAATAGAGAAAATCTCTTAGAGAAAAAAACTTTTCATTTATAGAAGAAAAAATGGAATTCATCCAATGTTTGTAAAGTGGTTTATTAGAATAATATGGCTTACCTGTCAAGATTTGTTGGGCTTCCGTTAACATCCGTTATGTTAACACTGTCCGGTTCATTATTTGTTTTCCTGTTTGCATCGGCCTTCGCTTTTACCGCACTCACTGCTCGACCAGAACTGATGATTGATTCGTTTCCATCAGCATTGTCACCATTGAACATTTTTATAATGGCGCATGGACGAACAAATGGTGCCCTACCCTCACAAGATACAGTTGCACTGGACTCATATTCACCATCGCTGTTTTGATAACTCAAACTCGATTTGATCCGAAATCTTCTTTCCGTCAATTGCATCCTAGTACACAGCATTTTGGGTAGGCCGTGTAATCTTTTGTTTGAAAATAAAATAGAAAAATTACCTTTGTTTCAGAAAACTCTATTAAAAAAACTTTCGGTTTTCAATTCATAAAATATTGACCAAAAAGTTTGTGAATGATGTATATATTTTGGTAGGTGTTTAGCAAGTGAAGTTTTGAAAATGTCTTTGTTTCAACAAGTTTCATGTTTTTCACGAGAAGTAACCTTAACATTGTGCCATTCCCCCATGAGGTTACACGATTTCAAAATGTTTTCATGTCAAAACACTGAAAACTTCTAGTCTTCAACTTTAGATGTTGCATTTATAAATGTCATATATCGTTTCGATTCGGTTTGAAATAAAGTACCATGCACCGCTTGTTCATTTCTAGTGCAAGCGATTTGTGTAATTGTAAACCATATCATCTGTTGTTTCATAGAATATCTTGAACTTGACGTCATGTTAAGAAAAAAAAAAACATTGAATTTTTTTTTATCCGAAAACACACAACTGTGGTTGGTTTTTAATAAAAGTAATTCTTATTCAAACTGAAACACAATATTGGTGCTGTTGGACGCCGATCAATCACATAAAATCGAGACTCAGCAGCAAGTATCACATATCAGAATAAATAACACCAACTATGTGCACCAGCACCGTTAAAAGGAAGAACGTTGTATACAAATAGAAAATAAAAAAAAAATTGTACACAAAGCGATTGAAAGAAGAGAGAATAAAAAAAACGTATAAAAACGTAGCTTCTGCATTTAATACACATAAAAACGACAATAATGGCAGAGCATCGGTGCATTGAAACGCAATCGAAATAGGATTTTATGCTGTAGTGTACGCAGGTGATGGCAAAAATTTTCCCAGGCTCTTTTCGTGGTACATTTTCAATGATTGCTTTGACACGACAGCCCATAGAAAATCATTATTTATTTTCCTGCGTCGGTGTGTGCGTGCATGTGTGCGTTCTATACATTTCATTTACTTTAATTGCATTTATTTTATGAGTTTTTTGCAAGTGGTTGATAGCATCTAAAGAATTCGAATCGTTACACAAATTGTACAGTTTTCAACAGAGCTATACGCACCATAAAATAAAATACATATACATGCACATGTTCTTTGTATGCCAACTGACAATGCCTAAGAAACATTATAAAAGCCTATCCGATATATCTATCCCGATGTCGAATAGCGAATGTCGAATAAAAAAGAAGAAAAAAAGACTGCAGTGAACGTATAATTGGAAAGGATCTGGAAATGAAGCGTTTAGCACATGCATTCAATGTTGAGAATAATTCATATGTGTGCACCAACACATGCATCCGCATAGCTTCTCATGTCAGTCAAAAGGACGATATTGAATTCTATACTTCGGATATGAACCATATTGTTGATGTAACGAAATCAATAGTAATTTTAAAAATGTATTCCATTTTTGTTTTGTTAGAATGTCTTAAGTGTAAGAAAATATTTAGTTTGCACATCTGTTGTGAAAGTGTTATGCACTTGATTTTCAACAGAAATGCAACGATTGGAATTTCTTTTCGGTACATGGATGCAGGAATTTTGGAAAATATATAAATAATCTCTCAAATAAGAAGAAAACATATTAATAATGTTTCATTTACTAGATTTAATATTGCGTAGGAGAAAGAAAGATTTTATAAAATTTTCAGTTAAGTCATAAGGTCTATAAAGACAGAGATATTTTCAAATGAAAAAAAAAATCATCTTAGTTTGCCTATGATTGAATAATATTAGTGCTGAAGGAGAGTTTTCAATAAAACCATTATAAATGTTTAATACAAAGAATTGTTTCATTAAAAATGGAGAAATAAATTTTAGCAATAAATTGCCGAAATATGACGCATTCGAAAACCATGCTATATATTGATTAATTGAAGTGTTTAAAATTACCAGGAAACAATTTTATTGCGTGCAGATTAATAAAGCCAATTACTGAAATACAAAATAATTTACCGAGTTCAAAATTATTACAACATATTTATTTCGTTAGCTGTTTGAATTGTTCGTCGAATATTCCAAACTCGATATTTCGCCAAAAATTCGTCATAACGTAGCAAATACTGTTAAAAATGAATTATTATTATTATTATATGGCACAATCACTTACACAGCCACAATCGAGCACAAGCTTAAGGCTTGTCAATGCTAATTTTATATATTCAGAGTTTTAATTTGAACTAACTTTTTGTTGAATAATCCACAAACTTTCTGTTAATTAGCAAATTATTGTTATGGATGCAATGTGGAGCGACTTTTGTACGAATCGTAGCATTTTGTATGCTGTCTACTTTAATCGAGTGAAAAACACAAACTGAGCAATGCCGCTAAGGAAAATCGTCGGAAATGCTCGCATTTGTAAAAAACAACAAAAAAAACTTCGCCGTGGCAGGATTGTATCTAGAGAGCATATTGTATTGTTATGAATGCAGGAATCGCAACTCGCAACTGTCAAATTTATGATATTACTCGAATTCACGATAGAAATGAAATTCAAATGCGAATAATAACAACACCATCACGCTATTTAAGCCAATTTATGCTTCTATTTTTAGCGATATACATAACATGATGAAATATTAAATGAATCGCGCGAGCGGCACAAAAGAAACCGCATATGATATACCCTCCAATTGTTTCACTCATAGGCAATCTATGAAATTTAGCGCAAAGACTTCTAAACGCATTTATAATTGCGACGAACATGAATTTAAAACGATATACCACTATATTTCCGTAAATTTGCCATAACATAATTTCAATAGCTCCTCGTTAAATTAGAATTCACCCTGAATATGTTTGGTGTGAACTAATGCAATATTTCCTTGGCAAAGGTCTTATGGCTGGCAGCAAACATACACAAGTGAATGAGGAACTGAATTGGCCTTTCACCCGTTCGAAACAAGTGACCTGGTGATGGATCGTGCATTTTATGAGAGATTTCCATTTGACACCTTGCACGCAAAGAGCAAATTCAATGTTATATGTCACTTTTTTTATCACCACTGTAATGTCACGAGCTAAAAAGTTCTTTTGCATTTCGTCCCATAAAAAATGAACAATGAAAGTGAGTTTTTTTCGTTAAAGACACATGCATATATCGGGAATACGTATGTATATGACGGAATATTATCAGTTGCGCATTCAATAGAATATTACCTTCTTATACAAAACAAGCACATAATTATTGTGGTTTCCATATTTGCACGCGATATACGTCGTATGAGGGCATTTACCATTGAATTGTTCGACTAAAATCGAATATATCAGTGCATTAAACTCACATGGTAACTAAACCGATTTACAAATATGTTATATCTTATGTGAATAAGATTCTTGAAGTATTTGCCTTGAAAAGGAACGCCTTTGTCGTTTGAGACGTAACCCATTCTTATAATTCGATGGTCTCAATTTAAAAACCACCCGCAATTGAGACATTCACTTGATTGACACATGCATATTTTAAAATAGATAAATTGAAATTGAAATAAGTGGAAGAAAAATCGTTTGAAAATTACACCATCGAACTATTATGTTGGACTTTATTTATTTCAGTTCAATGTAAATGAATATTTTAGGCAAATTAACGAAATGGATTCGAATACATCAACGACTGAATGAGCATAAACATTATTGTGAAGTTAAAATATTCAACGTCGTTTCGCATGCGGCCGCATGAATAATGAATGGCCAAACATTTTTGATGTCTACCAAACAGGAGCTGTTCATTTAGTATGACTGCATTATGTATAAGACGCAAATGACAATAGCAACAAATTCCAATTAACTTGAACGAACATTCATTCCTCTACTCCATCCATATTTGTTTTGGATTTTATCTTATAGTTTGCTCTCGAATCAAATATTCAAATCAACACAAGCTGAACAACGAATCAGTCACAATTTACAGTTTGTTAAAAATTTAACACAAAAATGAGTGGAAAGAATGTTTTAAATTCGAAAGCACAGTAAATATCGATCAGCAACTAAAAATAAAGAAAAATTTGGAAAGAAAAGTATGACAACCCACCCAACACTCGCTCATGGTCAACATGATTTTTGAAAATGCTTTCCATTCAATTTGCCAAGTTGAAAAGTTTTAAATTTATATCGATTGCCAACAATGCGAGCAAATTTGCGTTCTTTCCTACTTTTCACCACCAACCATCAGATTGTTGAAATTTACAGACAGCAAAAGAAAAGAAGACGTAAGAAAAAAAAAACAAATCTTTGCCAAACTCTCAGCATGGCCAATTGTACCAATAAAACGTTAAGTGTCGCAAGACGTCAAAAAGAACAAATGTTCAAATCAAACAAAAATGGTCTGCATAATAATTATATCACAGCTTTACTCAAATGCTTTACTCCACAAATAATAAACAATTCTGAAATTAGAACGCATTGTACAACCGAGAAGAGCACCATCGCTTCACTCAAGCGTTCGCTTGAAAATGTGTGGCATTTTGGCGCACACTTGAATCGCTCCCGATTTGACGTTCGCAATGTAGAAACATTGTTAAGCTTAGTTAATTATGAATGAAATCAATAATTAAAATCGTTAAGAAACTTTTAATACCAGACTAAGTGACTGTTGATACTTTTAACGGCTTACCACTTCTTATCGTGTCGAATGTCGTGCATTTATTCGTGAAAAATATGGGCTGAGCCTTTGAGTGTGAGCTTCAATTCCAAATTGGCTTACTACATTCTCTATGACAGCGAACCATTTACTATATTTACAACATGGCAAACGGATTTTGAATCCAATTGGTTTTCAGATGGTGTGGCGTGAAAAATTAGCTTCAGCATTTGATGAGTGCCGAATGCATTGGAAGTGATAAACTACACTCGAAACTAATTCGTAGAAAATCTTCTATTTAAATTTCCCATCTCCACTGCCGTCAGATGTACGTACGTATGCACATGGTACATCCTGAAATGATGGTCAGATTGTCGAAATTGAGGAAAGATAAGAATTCGATATCATTGCGTTAGAATTTATGGCATTTCCGTTCGGACCGTTTAAACGTTGAATGCAAGTGTGGTTCGTTGTGTGTCATATATGTGGTAGGGTTTTAGTTGTAGCGAAAAAGATACACTTCCGTTTGATATATAATACAGACTCATTTGTCTTGTGTGTACTCGTTTTTTTTTCTCGGCGAAAATTACAACTGTAATAACAATCGAGAAAACTGCGAACACGGCAGAATGAAAGAGTTTGATGAATTTCAAGGCTATTTTCATGACTGCAAGTGCTGTTTCCTTTCGCTGGCCGCCCTATCGATTCACGGTCGCTCCCTCTTATTCATTATTTTTCCTAATACTTTTCCATGTTCGGGAATTAGCCCGGCTGCGTCTGTGTATATGGTGTACGATATCAGCACGACTACATTTTACGAGTGAGGATGAAAGTGAACGAGTGCCGATTGTAAGATTTTACTCTTTTATATTGTACGTTGTATGTTCGCGAGAGGTGATAGTAAAAAGCGTCTACATAGTGTTTTAAGCGTAAAGTGTACACTGTACAGTGTGCACAATGGCCATATCCCATATCTATTATAATTTATGTGTGTATAAAATTTTCGTGTTCGTCCCGTCAACGCCATTCGATGGTGTATTGTGTACTTGAGCAAATAAATTTTATGGAACAGAAGTAACACACACACACACAACGACACACGAACAATATGAACGCATAAGCATTTCGATGTGAAGATGGACATTTAGTGCTGATGCTCGATGTTGGTCAGCAGCATGTGCATGTGAATAGCGCAGTTTATATTGCCGCACATCACTCGCACAAGGAAGTTCACTTTTATTTTTATTATATTCAACGAGATGTGTTTTTCAGTAAGTGAATGAATGGCTCTCGCTCGAGGTTTATACATACGATAAAGACTGAAGGCATATCGATATGATGAGTGAATGTTTCGTCGTAAATGGCATACAAGTTATGCTGTTGAAAGCGCACAAAAACAGTTTCTACTACTACTGCCATTTCCAAACGACAAACGACCACACATACTCGCACACTTGGAATTTGCGTGTGTGCGAATGTGAACAACTGATGCGAACACACATGAGTTGGAAAATTTATCTGAAGTTTAACATATTCGGTCAAGCATTTTTCATTATTCAAAATATTTAAATGAATACAAATTACATGCATCCGTGTGATTTATCAAAGTCAGCTTGATTAAGACATCAGTCAAAGAGGTGATTCTTAAATCAATTATATCATCTTCAGTTTTCACACTGATTTTTACGGTAGTTCCGTTTCGATTGATTGAATTAATCCTTTTGACCAGTTGTTTTCATTTCCTCGCACGAGAAAAAAAACAGCATAAACACACACGTTCACATTGAATTTCAGTCGATCCAACAAGTGACCAGTTTTAGGTCATTCCTACGCTTTCAATTATTATCGACATAAACTAATGGAAACTCAAGTTCACGTAGCCCATCTCGGATTTTCTTGATAACATTTTCTTTCGTTCAACATCGATTAAATTGTTGTGAAACACATGTGCCGTTACGTCTAACGGAAATTTTCACTGCTTTGTTGTTAGCATACATATATTCTAGTTTGGTACACATTTATAGCATTGACGAAGCACGTCTCGGTGAATATGCGTATATGTGTCTTTCTATCGCTTTCGTTGAACTGATAGAACTGGACGTGGGCTACTTTATATTCTCCAAAATAAGTACGTTACATTTTATATAAATTTCAAATTTCCCCCCGGCTTATTTCATTCAGGAAAAAAAGTCGAAACACACACACACACACTCTTTCTTTCTCTTAACGGCCATCATTCGTTTCGGCTTATGTATTTTGAATTGCACGCACACACAAGTTTGTGAAATCATGTAAAACATTTTGGCGATAGTGAAAAGCGATATGAAATATAAGATAATGCGTAAAATACATAGCAGGACCAGTTGAGATAAGGTGAAATATAGCAATAAAAAAGGGGGAGCATGTGTATTGCTCTTTTTAGCTGGACATTGGTACGATTTCGTTTTTTTCATACATTCTTCTCTGATGATGGAAAATTTACATAACTCTTGTACAGAATAGAAGATTATGTGTTCTTATGTGATGTGTATTCAGAAACAGCAGCAACAGCAACAACAACAGAATCTACGCCAGCAACACACATAATTTGTACGATATATAGAGAGAATCGACCATCAATTCTTGTCCCGTTCTTAAATAATGTTTTAATGTATGCAAAATAACTAATACATAAAACACACACAGTAGACAAGCGCACCCGCTCAACGGATCGATATTTGATGATTTTCATTTGAATAGTGCGTATGTGTGTTGTGTGTGTGTGTATGTGCGTGTTGGAAATGTTCATGAACGAGAGAAAATCACAAACGTGATGTTCGAGAAAAACTATCATAGAATATGTCGTTGCTATGCAATGGACGTCTGTTTGCATTTGAATTCAATCAATATTTTCCATTCTAATTCGATTTCAGTCGGTCAAAATACGTTTCATTCAGTTTGGATATGATGTTTTTCGTACAAATATTATAAAATTGAATTTCTGACCATAAGGGAGAAACTGTTTGTCCGAGCACACAGATGCAAATAATGTAAAACTTTGAAAGCAGTCATGCCAGCGCACCGAAAAATCGCACTTTTTTGAAGTAAGTAAAAATCGTGAACTTACGTAAAATTACGTTTTTTGGAAGAAGGCGAGAGAGAAAAAAAAAAGTTTTAAGGACACCCAAAGTGAATTTTCTAAACGATCGACCAGTAATTCAAAGATGAAACGTACAAATTGTTTACAAAAGGAAAATAGCAGACATGATTCAACGAAAATATTTCAATCGTGAATTTATACCGTGGTCCATGCGATGAATTGCCAGTAGCAGTGAGAGGTGATGTGTTTCACGCGGTGCTGCGAAAAAATATCAAAAGCAATGAATTCAAGGGGAATCGCATTCGGCATTTGGATTGAAAATCACTTCACAGCCAAAAATTGATATATCATTTCCGTTTCAATAATACCACTTTCAAACTCCAGTCGACCTTTTGCACGAATGTTACAACCTCATTTGTTATTATTTCGTAACGATGTTATCGCAATTGCGCTTCAGTTTTGATGTTTGCATTACGCGCGCCACTGGAGCATAGTCCACCCCCTGGATAAAAGAGTGTAATAAGTGTGAAATGCGTCGTACATTAACATAAGCAAATGAACAAGTAAACAAGTTGTTGTCAAAGCATTTACCAAACAATTTTTCACACGTTCAACGTTGAACAATCATGTTTAATGTTGGTTTATCAAAATTGAACGAGTTAATTACCGAGAAAATTTAATTTGAGCGTCTATGTCTTGTAGCCAAGTGACGCTGCACTTGAAAGGCCAATTTTATGAATGTCTTTTGAGCGAAAATTAGTATTCAGCAAACAATGAAGAACAGGAAGAAGTGCTGTCTATCAAGAAAGAATGGTTTTGTTTACTTGGCTTTGTTGGTGTCGCGTATTTCATTCATCACAACAAAGTAACAATCTATAAAACCAATCTGCGAGACTAGACAAAAGCAATAACTGATTTTATGACAAGTGCACTGAATTTGTTTGTGAAACAGTTGAGTTACTATAAATTGAAGAATCGAATAAAATGATTAAATTATTTACTAGAGAAATTAGCAATTAATTATATTATGGAACAGACGCTGGCCATTTTTTCTGATTTTTTTTTTTTAATTACAAAAAGATGTATCTTGAACAAAACAAACAAAGTGCTTTTATACGACTAATGGTAATTCGCTTTTTTTAGTTGTTTCATCTTTCGATATTGCAAGCATCACTTGAAATAGAAAATCTATTAAAGTTTAGATCTAGTTTAATCTATCTGTCTAAGTTAGTCGATTTTCCAAAATTTGTTTTTCTTAAAATCAAAACACATTAATATGTCCATTCATTGGTTTTTGTGAGCTTTAAATTTACTAGCAAAATTCATATTGAGAAAAAGTGTAATTTTCAGGTATCAATAAAGGAATATCCAACATATTTTAGTCCCTTTTGCTGAAAATAGTTTTTGTACGGTTTCAGGTTTCAATGAAAACCGATTCCAGAAGAAAGTGAAAAAATCTACCAAGTATATGTTTCAAATAAGTTCAACCTTCAGGGCAGCTTCATAATTGGGAATCGACTCCACATTGAAACAAAAATTAATCTTACTACGACATCGTAAAGTAATAAACGAATAACAGTCCAATAAATCTGTCAGTTGTAAAGTTTACCAAAACCTATCAAATGATTCAATGTTAAATAAAGTGGGAAAGAGACGCCCGTATGAGCAAATTGTCAATGGTCTATCTGTCAAAATACGAGTACGAAAAAGCTGAAAATGTCATGAACAGAACAATCAGGATAAAAAAAGAATAAATTTCATTTGATCATATTAAATTAATACGTAAATTTTTTTTGTAAATCATAATACGAAATGGCAGGCTATCGAGAATACGCTGAATTAAAGTAAGTTTGAAAATTTCAATCAGTTAAATACTGAAACAACAACAAAGCACATTGGCATTTGGTGCAAATGTTTTATTGTCGTAACATTGAACTTAGTGTGATGTAATTTTGTTTTGGTTTGTTTAATTTGCGTGGTAATAATTAAAATTGTCACTGAACAATGACTTTCATTTTGTGTTTATAGCAGATACATCAACGAAGGACTGGATGATGAGTTGGATGAAATGGACCAAGTTGACTACATATCGCGTTACCAACTAGAGCATTTTGGTGTTGGTAGAGTGGGAGAAAAGCGATCAGAGAGTCAACGATACTTGAATCATGACTATGTGCAACCACCAAACGAACCCGATTCATCAACGCCGCTAAATTATAAATACGTGAAATCCACACGAGATCTCACCCTTCCATTGCAAAAACATCCAAATGCTCAACCAAACTACGAAAGTCCCGAAGATGAAGAGCTATCGCTTCGCAAATATTTAGGTGTTAGCGTCGGTTTAGTGAGTTTGATCACAGAAAATCTATTGAGCCATCCGTTTGTTGTGCTACGGCGACAGTGTCAGGTTCGTCATAATTCGTTGCGACGGCATTTAGTACCATTTACACTTGTACCTGTCATATGTCATTTGCATCAACGACAAGGTGTCACAACATTGTGGAAAGGTTTGGGTAGCTGCTTGTTGATTCGTGGCATGTCCTTGGCGATAGAGGATCTGCTGTCAAAAGTAACACCGTGGCCTAAGTATGTATAAATTTCGATGTGAAATCGGAATGATTTGATTTCATTTGATTGTACATTGCAGGGAAATCACACATAGAACGACCTTGAAGAAGTTTGGACAGCATTTGATACTAAAAAGGTAACTTTTTCACCTTCAATCGTTTTATTCATTGGGTGTTTTCATGACTTTATTTGATTTGCAGTGTCAGCATTGCCGTTGTAGTACCATTTTATGCCGCATCTCTAGTTGAAACGGTGCAAAGTGATATTGCAAGTGAAAAGCCCGGCATTTTCGATGTTTTTCGAGAAGGATGTATACGTTTACTCTCATTTCAAAATCCGCAAAAAGGTCGAATGCTACCCATATGGGCATTGATTGGCCCAAGTGTGGCAATGGGAATATCAAAATACATATTTGGGTATGAAATAGTCCTTATTGCACTGAAATAGTTGGCTCGAATTTTAATTTATTTACCAAAACGTTTTCAGACTGGCTGTCAAAAGTATTTCAACGAGAATTATGCAATATCGTTTACAAAATTCACAACAACAACGAGGCGCACGACCAAAAGATTTCGAGAGTGATCAAGAGAATATTGAAATCTATTCGACATTGTTGTCAATCATGTCAACAGAGATTTTGTTTTATCCATTTGAAACGATTTTACATCGCATTCAGTTGCAAGGCACACGAACCATTATCGACAACTTGGATTCTGGATATTCGGTGGTGCCAGTCATAACGAGTTACGAGGGTGCGGCCGATTGTTATAGATCAACTATTGCCAGCGAAGGAGTTTCAGGGCTTTATAAAGGCTTTGGAGCAATGGTTTTGCAATTTGCAGCACATTATGCGGTCATAAGACTCACCAAATGGATCGTTACCCAAGTGATGGAAGTTGTTGCAAATAAGCCACCATCAAAGGTTACTGAATTTTATAATCTAAATTCGTCGATAAGAAGCTCACCCATTGACGGCGGCACCGCAGAGAATGAATCAATTGTGTCAAACACAATTTCAAAAAGCATCAGCTCACTAAGTGTCGAATAGTTAAACAAAAAGTCGTTGTTTGTACAATATATCATTTTTTTTCCTTCAAAATGTTGATATATCCGTTTGTTTCGTTTATTAATTAGTCAAATTTTACAAGCTAAATTAATTCAAATTCAGTGAAAAAAAAAACTTAAAATAAATTCTAGATCAATAAAAGCTGCGATAAGTAAATTAACATTAATTTGATCAAATGTTTCCTATTAATTTTATTTATTTCAATAAATAATGAAAAGAGTCATGTGTTTTGAATGAGGAAAATTGCATTCAGCGCCATTCGGGCTAACCTCAAAATATTGTTGTACAATTTTTATGCATGTGTTAGTATGTTTGTCATATATTTCTCACTGACACCGTGTGTCACAGCAGCGTTCAATAAACGATTTGAGCTCGCCTGTAAACAAGTCACTTTTGGCGTCAATCTCTTGTTGAGCATTTTATTTTATTCTTTAAAGTTTAACAAAATCAAATTCAACCATGTCGAAGGCACATCCACCAGAATTAAAGAAGTAAGTTCATCAAATTTGTCTGAATTTTAGATTTTCTCTGGAAAATATGCATGTTATAAATGTTGAGGTTATGTATTTACCGTCTATACCTCTTCGCCATTAATAATACAATTTTTATTTACGATTAAACTATTTTTTCGATCATTTTCAGATTTATGGACAAACGCATGATGTTGAAGTTGAACGGAGGACGATGTGTGGTTGGAATTTTACGTGGTTTCGATCCATTCATGAATGTTGTCATCGATGAAACAGTCGAAGAATGCAAAGATGGTACCAAAAACAACATTGGAATGGTCGTAAGTATTCTGCATTGAGTTAGTCATTTTGATAACTCGTTTTTGTATTTTGATCCAATTTTGATCGTATTATTTTGTGTATATTTCAATTCTTAGGTTATTCGCGGAAACTCAATTGTAATGGTTGAAGGCCTGGAAAGGGTATAGCCGTCGGCATACATGAACTTTTGATATTCAAAATAAGGGAATAAAATAACATTTTAATCTGACTTTGGAATTTTTTTTATTTTCATTTTTTCTCAACAGCGCCCAAAATAGGTGATTGTTTCTTATCAGTAATTAAGTGATTGGGTACGATGTTTTAACTATTGTATAGGTCTCGATCTTAGAAATTACTTGTGACATTATACAAAGAGAAAATCGGTATTAATCTCAAACAAAAATTTACAGGTGAATTAATACTTCCTCATTAAATCCATCAGAATTCCATACTACAATTCACTTTATCTTTCTTTCTTTTGACTTCTAAGCTTTTCTGCTTTGTTCTTCTCAATAATATTTGAAAAATTCTAGTCACATCGCGTTTAAAAATACTAGTTTGCACAAATAACAATCCTTTCTTCTTAATTCATACAAAAGGTATTTCAGGTGTTTATTTATTTTTGGATAATGAAATTCACTTTACTCTTAACGACTGTCGTAAAAAGATAGATGTAAACAACGAGAAATTGACTATTATTAATAAAATAAAGTAAATAAATATTCATTTAAACAGTGTATACAGTGCAGTCAGTTTCATTTTCGATATGAGACGTTGGAATAACGTGTTGAGACGTGGGTTCAAATTTCGCCACTCGACTGATATTCGATGTTGCACTGATGCCGTGGACATTCTTCTTATGATTGTTGAGCAAATAAATTTGAATAAAAGACGATGAACACAATTCACATTGGTATCTTTCTCCAGTATGTCGCCTGATATGTGCCTTCAAGTCATTTCCTTGCGAAAAACTCTTCGAACAATGTGGGCATTGGTATGGTTTTTCTTTTGTATGAACTCTGGTATGAACCGTTAAATTGTAGGCCCGTTGAAATCCTTTTCCGCACACAGAGCATATCTAAAAATGGAACATTTGAAATCTGTGGGTATTAAAAAAAGTCTTAAATTATCTTACATGTTTCTTCTCATTAGTGTGGTATCGTTCGTGTACTGTTAGATCGGTGGTTCGAGGGAATGCGCGCTCACAAAACCGGCACTGGAAAAAATACAATATGTGAATATTTGAAATCTGGTAATGGAATCATTGTCAGCATACCTTATAAGGTTTTTCTCCAGTATGTCGTCGCATATGTATAACCAAATAGTCATTGCGAATAAATCGCATCCCACACTCAGAGCATAAAAACGGCCGTTCATCGCTATGTACTTTGGTGTGTTCGGTGTGCTCACTTTTGGTTGTGAATTTTAAATCGCAGGTCTTACAAGCGAACGAAACTTCAGCATGTGATTTTCGATGCTGATTCAACTCTTTCACACTCGTTGCAACATATTCACAATTTTTGCATGAAAAAGTAGACGTTTTATTGCTATGTCGACTGGCCACATGGCGACGAAGGTGTTCAGTCCTTGAAAATGAACGTTGGCAGTGTTCACAAATATGAGGTCTAATTTTGGCGTGATAGTTTTCGTGAATCTTAAGGTGATCGCGTCTACGGAATCTCTTATCACATATTTTACAACCATAAGCACGTTCGTCGGTGTGTATAGTCATGTGGCGCCTAAGATGTGTTTTTCTCGTAAATACTTTATCACAGTGGTCACATTGATACGCCGATGAAATGATTTTTTGTGGTTTTTCTACTTTGTTAATTTTTTTGTCAGTCGCAAGTTTCATCCCCTTGGATTGCAATATTCGATCACCATGTTGACTTGTCATATGACTTCGAAGATCTTTTGATTGATGTACATTCATGTGGCGCCTGAGATGAGTTTTCCTCCCAAATGATTTACCACAATGTTCACATTGATACGTTGATGATTTGATTTCAGTTGGTTCGTCATCAAAGATATTGGCAATATCGGATGTTTCATTTTTCACTTTTTTGCATTGTGACTATACGAAAATAGAAAAAAGCCGTACAATTTATCCAAAAACTTCAAAGCGAAAAAAATTCAATCGTATCGATCAATACATACCAGTTCTTCTTCTTCTGAAGCAAGAATATTTTCCAAATCATTAGCGGAACTTGTTAGAATATGTAATTCAGGTTCAATTAATATAGGTTTTACTTCCAAAGGCGGTTGCAATTCATTGAAGCTGCTATTGTCTTTAGACAACTTTTTCAGCTCTTTGAATGTAATCTCACATTGCTGGCGAAATTGGAATGCTGCTTTCAAAGCCGCCAAACAAAGCTCACATATTTTATCTGGATATGGAAATTCCCTTACACTCTGAAAGAAAAAAAAAAGATCCATTCAATCCATTGTTATTTGTGTCAATTTGAAATTCCAAAATGATAATAATACAAACATATGTATTTCCAGTTAATTCATCTAGTATGCTGGATATTTGAGTTTCGCTATCATTTTTCGATTCAATAAGTTCAACTTGATTTGGAGTAATTGGTGAATATATCGATATTAGATCGGAGCTTGGTTCATTCAAGCATGTTCGGCAAATACAAAAAATATCCATTTTATTCAAATTTCAAAACATAAACACACCATGATACAGATAAATTTACTAAATCACTCGGAACAATATAAATAAAAGCCCCAAAAAATCTGTTAGCCCGAAAGTACATTTTCAATCAATAGTTCGATGTGTGCGTAGAGATATATATATGTGTGTGTACGTGTGTTTGTGCGTGTTTTATTTGACAACAAAAGTGAATAAACAATACTATTGGCGCTATAGGATGCATGCATATATACAGCATGCACGAAGTTGGCTGCGTTTCAACTCATTCGTTGGTATAGAGTCGAACTGTCAATGTGTTTATGAAGCAATGATGCGAAAACAGCGTTTACATGAATGTGTATGTGTATGTGAGTATTTGTTGCGCGAAAAAGACATTTTTTCATCGCTATTCCGTCAAAGTTCAAGTAAAGTGAAAAGGAAAATTGCAAAGGAATTAATTGTGCTATTTAATGTGTGTTGTGCATTTGAAATCAAATGACGAACATTTCACTCGTCGATTTTCGCAATTTTATTGAATTAAATATTGAAAATATTTCGCAATCATCAGCCATTAAATATACGTAGACTGTTTACAATTACATTAGTATGCCAAGTTCAAGTAAATGTTCGGCCACAAATGAACCGACCGCCATTGTATCTGAAATAAGTAAAGCGAATAATATTACAATCGACGATAATGGCTTGAAAATAAATACAACCAAAATACCAACATACAAATTTTACGGTGAACGATCGACAATTGCATCGTCGCTGCAATCGAAACAACAGCCCAAAGATGATTCGATTAATAGTGAAAAATTGAATTGTAAACAAAATGTGAATAGTTACAATACATTGTCTGAGGGTAAAATGAGCTGTAGGATGAACGACATCCAAGTGGGCGATGAGGTGCTTGTGCATTTCGATGGGGGAAATTTTTATTTAGGTGTTATTAAAGAAATTCGTTCGGATTCATTACTTGCTCGATTCGCGAGTGGCACAGAAAAGTGGGCTAAACCTAGTGAAATAACCAAATTGAATGTGAAAAAAGATGAATCAATGTGTGTGGTGTGCAAGAAATTTGATGAAAATGTTCAAGTGTGTTCACAATGCCAACGTGGTTTTCATAAAAAATGTTCGAAGCTTTCAAAAAGCGACGAATCCTCGACCGATTGGTATTGTCAGAAATGTTCTACGTCGTATGCCGATGCGAATGAATCATCATCATCACAGCCAATTCATACGGGACGAATCGTGAAGGCAAAAACTGTACAAGAGACATGCTACTGCGGTGAAAAGGGTGACTGGTTCATGCAAATGCTTCAATGTGCACGATGTCTTCAATGGTTCCACGCGAAATGTACTAAATGCTTAAACTTCCCACTGTATTTTGGAGATCGGTAATCACATAAATTCTATATTATCCTTTATAAATTGAATTGGATTCATTTGATTTCAATCACAAAAATATATTTCTTTCCATCATTTTCTAGATTCTATTTATTCGCATGCGCTAGATGCAATCATGGTGTTGAATTTTTACGACGATTACACATGAACATTGAAGAAGTGGTGCATTTGTTGCTATTCAATTTAACACTGCGATTTAGAAAACGATATTATAGCTTGACCAACGTGATTTATCCATATGCACGAGATAATTGGCATGCATTGCAATTACCACCCAAGGTAAGTTCTATTTGAATAGAATCGAATTGCTTTTGTATTGGTGGTAAAGGCGGCCATTGAAAATTTCTTTCAATTCATCACATACAGTTGAAAAATATGATGCTGAGTGACGTCAAAGAGGATATTAAGAAGGCGCTAGGAACCCATAACGATCGATTCAAGCCCGGCAATGACGTGAATCAGAAAATTCTAAGCTGGGCTTTAGTATCACGAACACCACCCAAAGCACCAAACATTGTACTACCACAAGGACCCTTATTGACTGAAAAATATATAAACGACTTATTCAAAGAAGAAGCTAAAATTAATTTCATGACACAAAATATGTAAGTAAAAAACCATTTATACGCGTTCGTTTTAACCCCACTGTTTTCGTAGAAATTCCAAAGCTTCTTAAGCGAGATACAAAAACAAAAAACAACTTGAATTATTATTTATAAATATTTTCTTCGATTTTTTCAGTCATAATCCATCCGAAGTATCATTTAACGACGCAAAAATCAAAGATGCAATGGCCGGAAAAAGCGTAGAAACCCATATAAAAACGACGGAGGATACGAGCTCCGATGATATGGACTCGGGAGCATTTAGTTCAACATCAGACGACGATATATTGGCCAATTTTAATTTAAAAGATGCAATCAGCATACAGACCAAAAACTCAAACCAAGACCCCGAAACGGCGTCGGTATTCACTGAGAAATTGTCAAAGGGGCGAAAATCAAGCGTGCCACAGCTTGGACAAAGTGAAAAATCAAATGATACTTCAATCGACTTTAATTATTCATCCGATGACACATTATCGTTCACATTGGATACCATAATTCCGCCGCCAAAAAATTTCTCAGGCATAAATAATCCATTTTTAATCGATACCAATGCATGCCATGAAAGCCGTTCATTCGGCATCAATTCAAATAAAACCAGTACACTATTCAAGTGTACAAATAGTGAAAATGTTGTTCCTTCAAATGTTGCACAAAATAAACCAAAAGTTCAATTGGTGCGAACGGTCAAAAGACGTTTAAGTGTAAATGACATTGAAATGGGACCGAATAAACGTCGGAAATTGAAAAAACGACTCGAAAATGTCGAAGTAATAAGTACTTCAACTCTTTCATCCCTGGCGGATCTTCCAAAATTGGCAGCCTATCTTCCACTTAGCGCCGATTCAAAGCGAATTTCAATTGCCGCACTTCGATCTACGCTCAAAGAATTTCCAACAAAAACAAAAGCTATCGACAAAAAACGTGGCACAAGTCTCGATTCGAGTTTATTCGGCGAACAAAGCAATTCCACATCCGCCTCAAGCCAACCAGATTCACAGCCAATTACGGCAAGCTCCTCACTTATTAGTTCAATTTCATCATCCCCAATAAAAGATACATTGAAAGAAGAATCCATGGCCGATTTACAGTCATCATTGAATATATATTTTGGTGGTGTTGCCAATAGATTGGGAAACGGAGAAAACTTTGCCATTAAAGGTAAGTATCGTATAAATATCTTTACATTTTTCCATTGTTTGTGCCAACCAAATTTAAACTAACAAAATGAAATGCTTTCACTTACACATTATAGGAAAACGTGTTCTATCCGATGGACGACTTCAGTATTTAATTGAATGGGATGGGATTTCATAAAAATAAACAACGATATATGTTTGTATGGAATTGTATAGTATCCTATTCACTTGGCCAATATAAAACAGGCCATGAATTATATGTACATTTGCTTACTGTCCTTTTCTTTTATGAAGAAATTTTTAAAAAAACTATTATCTTGTTACGTCTTTAGTCTGATCAAATGTAAACGAATTAATTGGAAATCGATACTGGAAGCGCCTATCAATTTCTGTGACAAAATGTTAATATGTGATGTGTTCAACCTTTCATCAAACATATTTGTTGGCTCGATATGTTTTTTGTAAAATTTGTTTTTCTTTTTTTTTATTTCGGAATGTCTGCGTTCCTTTATAATTTATTAAATTATTATTTTTACGGTAGTTAGAAGATGCTTTGAATTTGATTTGGAAGGATTTAAATTGAAGAAAACAGGGCTGATTTATAATTATACAAATTAAATAGCAAAAATGCGAATTTTAGAAAGAGATAGGAAATATTTTTGTAATTTAAAAAGAAATGTAAAAATGTGCACCAACATTTATTGAATTTTACAGGAAACTAATATTATAGTAAACATGTGACCCAGCAGAAGCTTGGAATAGCATTTTAGCATTAACAAACTTTATTCCAACTGAATAACGGTTAAAAATCATATGACAAATAAATTCATAAATGTCTAATAAATGATGCAAAAACTTCACAATATACAAAAAAAATTGTTGTTTTTATTTTGACATTTTTATCAGTCCGAATATATTTGAATACAATGCCAAATGTATCATATATCCATTGGCCCGTTTAGTCAAGCTCGCTGATTTTGATTAGTATGACTCATATTTTCACTTTATTCACATCTATATCCATGCAAATATTTATTCACTATCAAATAATATCCATATATCTCCGCTTCTGCAAAATTATCCGCATTAATGAGGCATAACTGATGAAGAAGAAATGGTAAAAAGTACGAAACTCACAGATACCATTTAAAACGGCATTTTCTCCATGTTTTCTGTTTCACCTTCAATGAAATTCGATGACACCTGATTAAAGCATTGTATGTGGAAGCGAATGTGATTTTGATCACTGAAACTCGTACGCGTTTTCCACGCTGTTGCAACAAACGTGTAGTTCAAATTATATTCAATATAATTGAAGTAAACAAAGTTGAAGACAAAGCAAGTGAAAGAAACGTGTTGAAAAAAAGTAAATATCGGGCACCTTGTTGAATATTGTTTTTATATGAATGCACATTACCGTTTAGATTGCCGCATTCAATCAAGATTTTGGAATGAATTAAGTTTTTTTCAAAAACTAATAAAAACAATGAAAAAAAAACATTAAAATGAAGAAGAGGTGTACAGAATGAAATTAAATTATTCATTGAAACCAGAAGACGCAGTGAACCAACACGCACACATAGATACAGACACAATGAATGACACAATAATTGAGACTGCAAAGAAACAAACAACAACTTGTAAATGAAAAGAAAAACTTTCGCCGTTTTATCGTGGCTCACATGGAGCGCGTTAAGTCATACGTCGAAAAGGCACGACGAAGACGACGACGACGACAAGTTGGTGCTGGGCTGTCTATTGAATGCACGACGATGCTTTCGCGCGGCAACACATTAACAGCCACTGCACGACGATTGATGTGAAATGAAGTCGGTATAACCACCGTTTCGCTTCGTTCATATTTTTCCATCGGTAAATCGAAACACAAATATACCACCAGTGCCAAAGAGTCAGTGCGATTTCATCAGTTACAGCGATCGGTCGAGTTTTTTTTTTCATTTTCGCTCCATCTACTCGTCCAAATAAGTAATGTGTGGTCTCAATGATTGAGCAAATAACTTTCTGAATTAAAAATAATTCGCAGTAATTTTGAAATTAAAAAAAAAACCAATAAAATCCAATCAAACAAAATTAGTCGCTGGTAAGAATTCAAGTGTTGTTTAGTGATTTTTTTGAAAAATGAATTTTCCGTTCCATCAGCAAATTTGAAATTGAAAACATTACTCGATGCAACAATAACCATGGAGACTGTTTTAATTAAACTTTTTGTCTGAAAAATTCAAAAGTGAAATGTAATAATAAATGGAAAATAATTGAAAAAAGAAAATCACTTGGTTTTGAAGAAAGCCGCCAAAAGACTGTTCAATTTCTACATTCAATGCAACCGGGAAGTTGTTTTCCAAAAATTACCACCTAATTAAAGTGTGAAAATTTTCGTGTCTACAATATTGTTTACCATTATTTTATGAGTCATTCTTCTAAATTGGCCATAAAATATGACGGAAAATGTTTTGCGATTGTCGTTAATTTTTTTTTCGCCAATGTCTGGTTTCAAATAAATTTTGTGGATTCTCAGCCATTGATACGATCACCATTATTCATTCATTCATTCGTCTGAAACGTTGTGCTTCAAATGATTATAACAATTTTCTTTTATTCATTACAAGTATTAATCAAGGCGGAGGGAAAAAAATAGTCGGCAGAAATCGACACCGTGCATATGCAGCACAAGAAAAAGAAGTACGCATTTCAGTGAAAGTAAACATTTCTCTGAGTTGTTGGAATTTCAGGTTTTTGGAGTATATTTCTTGAGCAGACTACTGTACAGTTAAAGTTTGTTGTTTTTTTTTCTACTTATTTTTTTCTGGATGTTTGTATTTCATTGCTGAATTGCATTTGGCGCTAACGCTATTTCATTTGTGAAATATCGGGCAAAACCGAATAGAGTGTGAGATGAAATGAAAAGTATACTATAGAAAATATAATTCGAAGTCAACAAGAGGAAAAACATAGTGTACTAACGGTAGAAATACACGCGACGCGTAATTATAATATTTGAATAGTTTGCATTAAATCCATACTCGATCAGCAAAACACCATGAACGAATAAATGAAAAGTACAAAATCCGTGAAATTACTGCACGGAAAACACGATTTTTTTTTCTTCAGTGATAATATCTTTCCTACGACTCAATTCGACTGATACTTGTAGCGTGAAATTACTGCATGATGCTTTCATCATCATCATCATCATCAACAGCATAGATCTGAATCAATGTGCATCACATATTTATTACATTTAATTGATCTTCAAAAAATCGTTCTAATTCACCGCAAATTCGAATTGATTCGGCAGAGAAAAAACCTGCATATTTCGCACTTGAAAAATTCATTCAGAGTAATTACTGCATAGATCTTGTTGCGATTGACATCAATATCAATGCATATATGTGTGTGTGGCCGACCCATGGAATTTCAAATGCAAAAATTATTCTCTGCATATAAATATGAAATATCATAGAAAATCCGGGTCTAATGCTTGTAATATACGAAGTTAAAAATCACATTCAAATGGTAATTTGCACGATTTGAAAAGGCCTTCAATTTATTATCTATTATTGAAAACAGTCATTATTTTAATATATTGGAGCACACTCCCATGCGCAATGCCGCCACCAATGCTCGCACACATTACTTACTCAAGCTAATACAATTTGTACATTATAAATATGACCTTAAGATTATTTCGTTAATTTCCACGAACTCAAGCTCTCAATCATTCAATGTAATTTATTTTCGGTGTAAAAAGTCTTGGCTACGTGGAAAATCCCAAATGTAATGGAATTTGTACACACTTTTAGACAGCATCTGATATCATTGAATAGCAATATTTAATTCGCGGGGTTTTATGTCCAACCAACACCGTCACCTAATTTCATATTCAATCTTTTTCGCATCCAATTAACTTGTCACCGAAAAAAATACGATGCTTTCGTAGATGTGCAGGTTGACACTCTCTCACTTTAACGAAATAAAAAAAAATGTTTTTGTTCATTTTAAATAACAACTCCATGATCATAAATTATTATTGCTACACCAGTTTTTAACGATCTACACCTGTTTTTCCAAAGTTCTTTGGCTTTTTGACTCAAAACTAAATATGGACATTCTTGGAATTCGCTACAGCTTCAAGTACATCAAAAGCACAACATATGTTTTTTGTTGACTTAGCCGGTTTAATTTTGTTTTGAAATGAGTTTCGAGAAGCGAGCATGCAAATTACACATTTCAAAATGAACATAATTATCAGTTTTGTTTTCTGCTCTCATTTGTTTTTCCTCATAAGTTTTAAAAGTATAAAATCATGGATTCAATTACAATTAGCCGCATCGAAGCCATTAGTAAAGTTGATTGAATTTTCGTTTTCGTTCTCGCACTTTCTTCATGAATCTGTTAAATAGATCAGCATGCAAAGCTTATATTTGATTGATCAATTAGCAATAGCGAAAAATAAAAAAAAAATTGAAAGAAAGAACATTGAATTGCATTTTGAGGCGAAAATTATTAGTGGCATGATAAAAGAAATGATAAAATAATGAACAAGAAACGAAATCAAATCAAAGCTCTATTAAACTTTCTCGCCGCTCTTGTGAATTAATGAAAATCGAGAGAAAAAAGATGAAAAATATCAACAGGTAACATCAGAGCGCATAACTTTCACCAATCGTCACATGCGCTGAGACAAGATTGAATGAAGTTTTGTGGACATATGTGAGCATATGGGCTGAACAAAAGTACCCCATATATTTTAATAAATGATTCACGCACTTTTTTCCAACCGAAAACTAGCCATGATCGGTGTTACAATGGCAAATTACCATCCATTGGCAAATAATAAAAAATGTTCATCTCAAAATCAGCAGAGAAAAAAAATGAAGAAAACAAAAGCGAATCAAATCAGTCACATCACACAATGGGTTCATATTTACGCGATGTGTGTTTTCAAGAAGAGTGTAAACAATGCTGCATTTTTCTTCAAAGAATGAGTAAAAATATATATGCGAACCACAAAATAATAGCGCATAATACAATTGTAAATGCAGTACTCTAAGAACATTCATTTTTCAAATGAAAAAAATTGTGACTTTAATAATATCCGCAATATTTTTCCTAATGATCTAATTCCCTATGGTAAATGCTTTTGTTATGAAAAACAAACAAAAATGAACAATAGGATTCCGGGCAAAAATGAACGATTTTCAAAAATGCGCAACAAACAAAGAACTTTTCCGCTTGAAACGTCGAACCGAATTGAGTGAAGTGAGATTCGACACCGGCATATACTGCAATAGGCATTCGTGTAAATCATCAGCATAAAGACTATATGTTTCGATTGGAATGGTCTAGCACTAATGCAGCATTGATTGAAATGGTCTAGTGATTTTTTGTTTTGTAAAATTCACATTCACATTTGTTGTGGTTTGAAAATTATAGTCGTACATTAAATAGCGCTTTCTGCTACTGCTGTGATACGCAATGACCTGAAAACTTCATAAACACGCAGCTCTAATCAAAACAAACACATCAAGTTTTTTTTTATAAAGTCGGAAAAACTAATAAACATGATCGTTCTATGATATCGATATTATTTTGATTTCGAGTGGACATCTAATGACTCCATATAAATTTCTTGTTCTATTCACTCAAATGCGATGCGATTAACGAAAGTGAAAGTAGTTATAATCGATTGTAGCATCCCGCAACGTTCTGTGTATCGAATATACGTTGATTTGTTGAATTCCATAACAGTGGAACTAAATTTAGAATTACCTGAACCGAAAAAATGGTTGGCATTTCCTATTTTTGGAAATTGGAATTTTAATTGGATGCTTGATAAAGTATTTTTTTTCGGAAACGAGTTACAGCAATGACAAACTGGCATACATCATCTTAATTTCACATGTAATAAAGTTGTTCGCATAATTTGTTGGATTTTATTGAAAATACCTTTTTTTTTTGCCACAATCACACACAGTGACACAAAACTGAGAAAGAGAAACTTTTTTTTTGTTAATAATTTCTCCAGTTGAGCCGATTTAAGAAAAATACTTATCACTTTTTATTCGCATAACATGCGTGTACAAGTGCGTTGTCAATGTCGCTTTTCCTCTTATTTGATGACCATAAATGTTACTGCCAATAATATATAAAAAAATAACATCTGAGAAATGAGTGTCAACGATGTTCAATCAAGTTTGATAACGATTTGCGGTTAACGAGATGGTCATCTAGATATTGAGCGAATGCAATATTCCAGACTCGTGACGAAACGCAACAGAAAAGTGAATGAATGAATGAAAAACCAATGGGTTTGTTGATTTAAAATGAATTGTGAAAATCATTGATGTGAAAAAAACGCGAAAAAACCGCCATGGCAAAAATCTATTAAAATCGAAATCAATTCCCATTTCAGTATCTTCTATTGGTTTTTAATACACGTGTGTGTTTTTTTTTTCGTGTTCTCTCGTCTTCTTCTCATGGGAAGTGTGAACGCATTGAAAAAGAAAATAAACAATAATTCACGATTTGAACCAAAGCTTAAATCGAACTTACCTGCTACGAAATGGGCGTGAGAGCGAGCGAGAGGCAAAAAAATTATGCGCTTTCTCTTAAAACTGAAAAATGCGCTATGTCCGATGGAACAACAGAAAGAAGAAGAAGAAGAAAAAATAACGTAAAAAAATGCAAAAGAATTATATGAAAGTTCAATAAAACAAAATGTAGAAAAACCAATTGACACACACTGGCTGCAAATGTAAAACTGGATTTATACACTTGTTTCGCTTGATCAAGCATAAGCATGTTATACCCATTCGATCATGCCCATCAGCATCACCTTCGGTTTCGATTCTTTGATTCAATGCCGATTTCTTTCGCAAATCATGTGCACACCATATCTTTCTTATATTTATTTACTTCTCTTTTTTTTTCTTTTCTTTCATATTTAGAAAATTATCATTTCCATTTGCAATTGAAGCACACGGTCTTTTCTCGCGGCACATTGTGCATATGACATTCATATTATAAATCTGTATCACAAAAGAAAGTGAAAACAAGTGCAATTCACTCTTTCACATTTTTCCCATTGCTCACATTGTAGCTTAATTGAAGCTTGTAATCTTCGATCATTTATTTATTATTCACGATTGTAAGACTATTGATTTGATGTTTGGGTTGAACGAACGTATGAATTTGTGATTGCTATGCCAACCTTAATTCGTTCTGTTTTTGTTTTATATTAATTGCCTTATTGTGTGTGAGCCGAGTGAAGATTTTACAATACTTTCGTTTCGTGACATAAAAACCAGTTCTTTGGAAATTATTCAGATCGTTTGGTTGCAATGGATCGAACACAGTTCTGATTTCTGTGCGATGGGCATGTTTAATTTGGGTTTTGGATGTAATTTCATCGAGTAATTTTCCATTGCTGCAACATCAAAATCACGATAAAATCCATTTCTTTCGTTTCGTTTTGATCGTCGTACGAAACGAAAAATGAATAAGTCGAAAAATTTCTTCTTGAAAATAAATTGCCGGTCATTTGACATGAGCAAAAATACAATCCAGACATAGCGGCGCGCTGTCATAAAAACATATTGAATTCATGCGAAGCTTGTAAAATAAATTATGCAAAAATGTTTACATGAGGCCAGCCTTAAAATATTTTCTCAGAAGATGGCATGATTAATATGGCCGAATGAATAATTTTCTTCATTAATTCCATGATGGTGCGCATCGACAAATCAATATTAATCCGTTTTTCACATTTTTCGAGTGATAACGATGTGACGATAGCATCTAAATCACGAATTTTTCTCATTTTTCTTCGGCATTTTAATAGTAGAAAAAATTCAGCAATCTAATTTATAAAAATAAATATTGAATCGGGTTGAATTGTTTGCACGAAAAAAAAATTATACTTTCTCATATCGACCAATGATATCGAATACGATCAGATGCAATAGAAATTCACTTCGCGTGGAAATATTTTTTTTGTATAATACCTATACCATATACCTGATGATATTACGGTGCTTTTTGCTTAAGTTGTGGTCGTAAACAAAGAAAGTTTCTACATATGAGAAAAAATAATAAAAAATTACATTCTTATGGAATTTTATGAGATGTCTTTTTTTTCTGGATAAATGAACATATTTATCCATCTCCAATTAAGTGTGCACGGGAAATATAATTTCCATTAATGTGACGTGAATTTCTTCTGGGAATCAAGTGACAAAAAGCGTCGCTGAATACACTTTAAACATTCACAATTGCATCTGCACACGATACGTGCATAAAATAACACATTGAAGTATATGAGCCAATGGTTGGTGTGGCCAATGGAGACTAATGCGAACTTGATTTCTATTGTGACACTGTATAAAACGTGCTAACTGCGTTCAAAACCGCTCACACGCATCAAGTACACGTACATGAATAAATGGTGTGAATCAACGATTGCTTGGCATTTTAAGTTATCTAACTTCTTTCTCTTTTTTTTCGGCGCATTTGAAAGGAATGAGAAAAATGTATGATTTGTTATGCGATTGCCGCTATTTTTATCAATTCTTTTTTTTATTGCTTTTATGATCGGTATATATATTCACAGTTACGACAACTCATTTCATCCGAAAAATGCCGAATGAAATGAAGAATTGCGAAAGAAAAGAAAAAAAAAATGACGAAAATGATGATGAAGAAGAAAAAATCAATGAAAAATTCAAAAAATAATACAATCGAAACGATTTATGCAAACTGAAATGGACAAGCAATCGCTTATATTGTTTCACAAATTTATGCAGTATACTGATGATGTCAATCGTTCATACAGCGCGTATGAATGCACACTAGAAGCGAACCGATTAAAATGCCGAATTATTAGATAAAAAAAGAGCGGTGTCCAAAATATATACACATGTATGGAGATACCAATGAACGAAACAATTATCTCCAACGATCAAGGAAACACGACGTAACTGCTTTTCTTCGTTTCATGCGAAAGAGAAAGTGATGTCAGTTGAGAGAAATAACACCGCGGTAACAACGACTACAGAAAGCAGTCATCCACACGATATAAATGCCATATAAACATAATGTGTTGTCCGAAGCGAAAGAAATATGGTTTCAGACGACCGAAACAAGATATAAGCAACAGCGCAACAAGTGTTTGCATAGGCCTACATTTACACACATTTCCAAATACAATACGATGGATCGTGCAATGTTTATGCCGTTGCTTAGTGTACCTTGCCATCAGCGCATAAATACGTGATGAACAAATTGAAACGCGATGATTCTAGTTGCGCGGTTATAAACACACAATTACTCGCAAGGTCATTATGTAACAAGAATAAATTCTGTTCCATCTTCTGATGTTTTCTTTCTCATCTTCTTCTTTTCTTCTCTCTTTTGACAAATTTTATTCATGGTGAATGATCGATCCCACCACACTTTCACTCTTGAAACGATTGAAAAGTTCGTTGCAAAAACCAAGCCTGCAATAAACTTAATGATTTTATTTCGAATTTGATGAGCGGTGTCAATGAGCTACAAATTTGTTTGTTTTTCATTTTTTTCAAATTTAAATTCAGGTGTTTTTATTCGCTGCATATTTCTCACTTAAAATCGATTCTACGAAACAAATTTCACCAAAAATTGTGAGACAAGATGTTGTGAAAATGTTCATATATTGTTCATTGAGTCAAAAGGCAAACAAAGAAAAGTTGTGTTTTCATTGAGTATTTAATTTTGTTTTTCTTTTGTTCACAGGTAATTACCAACCCAAACACACACCTTTTGCAATCAACTGTTCGCAGATATTGAACAACCATATTCATAATGCGGCTGCCACTGATGTTCGTGTATGGCTTGCCTCTGTTTCTATTCACGATTGGAATTGTTGATGCTGATCTGGTGACTCTGAAACCCACATCAATTCGAACAGAGCTTCGAATTGGAAAATCATTGCGCCCGCAAGATGAACAACAAATTAGTGTAGCCGGAACAAATGGTTCGCCCGTAAATATTATTGTAAAGAAACGTGATCCAAAGCAGGCGTCGACATTAATACCAGATAGTGCAATTGTTTCAAAAACACGAACGCGTGATGTTGATAAAAATGATTTCTATTCACCATCAACCGAAGCGGCGGCCAATTTATTTAAAACATATTCGATCGCAGTGAATACGGAGCCGAATCGAAAACCCGGCAAATCAGATATGAAAACGAAAAAAGATGAAAAATTGATTGAAACATTTGTTAAGCATATTTCGAAAATAAATCGAATTAATTCGTCACGCGTTTATCGTCCGCAACTCGTGACAATTGATCAAATGCGCTCTGATGTCCCTGATCCGGTCGTCATTAGTTCGGATGCCGTAAATTTCATGACTTTCGATAAAAATGCCGATCGCATGAGCAAAAATTTGAAGCACGCTCGTGGCAAGCAATTAATGCACATTGGCACTGATGGAATACCAGTGATTGAGGGCATACGCATGCCAGACGATGAAGAAGATAAAGTGAAAACATGGAGAAATGGACGTGTGATAAATGGCGTTTTAATGCCCTATGAAAAAGGCTATGTGCCGAAGAAAGCAATTGAATTGAACACAGACTTTGGACAATTGATGTACGTTAAAAGTTTCAACGATGAAAACAATAATGAAAATGCGGATAGTGTTGGTTCGGGTCGTTCATTTGGTCCATTTACAAAGTCCGACAATTACAAATCGAAATCGGCCGGACCATTTACGGTCGATGATAATCTTAAAGTTGAGACCAGTGTTCGGTTTGACGATCGAAAACCCATCGGCCCATTCTCAATCAAAGACAATTCACGTGTCGCAAACTCCAAACTAATCGATTATATTAAAACAATCAATGACAGAGAATATCGTCGACGTGATTTTTTTCTAAGCGATGAACCAAAATCCGATCGAATTCGATTTGAAGATGATGTGCATGAAACTGCTCAGCCAAAAATTCAACGACGAATGCTAGAGAATATAGGCGAACCAGTGTATGCACCATCGCGATACTACGCAAAAAATCCAAATCAATCATCGGAAGGTGAACGATCGCCGATTATGGAGTATGCTCATCCAGAATATGGTGTGAAAGCTGTTACCGAATCGTCTGGTTTGACGAAAAAGCCAAAAGTACAATACTATACGACAGACACAAAACCCGTACAGCCAGTGAATATTCAATACAAAAATGTACAACCGTATCGACAACAACCGCAGACAAATTATTATTCAACAATGATCGGGCCACAAAAACAAATTTATCCATACAATAGTTATGTTACGAAAAATCAACAAAACGAAGACGAACAACCATTTTACATGAAAATCGCGAAGCGAATGCATGATGGCGTTCAGAGTGGTTTCGACATCTTTATTCGGCCCATCATGGAAGTGGGTAAAACACTGACAAAAAATCTCGGATTTCGTTCAAACTATCGATCAATTGGAAAAAGTTTCAGCGACACGGATGTTGGAAGCCGTAAAGAAAGCGAAGCATTGAGCAATGATTTCAATTCAGCTATCGATGATCTCGATGCACACAGTTCACCGGAAAATAAAATTCGAATTAAGCGCGGACGATTTGTACAAACGATGAGAAAACGCCGCGCCCTAGACACCGATAATTTCGACTCTAATGACGGTGAAAATAAACTAATTGACGATGGAAGCAGTTTATCGTATCGAATGAAAGAATTTATTAGAAGCACCGATTGGAATAATACTGGCTGCGCAAAACGTGTATTTTGTGAAGTTATGATACAGCAATCTCCAGACGATATTGCCATAATGGAGAAAAAAATGCTCAGTATTTTGCCGCCGTAAGTAGTTTTATCTCTTTAATTTAATCGGTGTCAAAAAATATTGTAACTCTTTTATTTTTTTTAATCGACAGACAAAGACAATTGCACGAAACAAGCAACAATAATAGCATACGAGTTTTCAGACATCTATCGGATGTTACGAAGGCAATTCAACAGAGAAACTGTGCAAAGTTCATATGTCAGGCTCAGCAATAAGCACGAAAACGACGCATTTGGAAAAAATCAAAATATTCTCTTTCCTTCGTAGATTATTATAAGAGCGACAGCAATATTCTCTCCTACAATAAACGAACTGTTCATATCACACACACTATCATCATATTTATTCGATTAGATTGTAATTTCAACGTAATTATACTTTTTAAAACAAAATATATGTGGTACATTTTATTGATAGATCAAGCAAATATCTGCCAAAAAAATCAATAGCGTTTTAAGAATTGTTTTTTTTTGTTTGTTTTTAAGTTGTATTTAAATCGGGTAAAATATATTTAATTAATACAAACTCAAATGTTAATTTTCATTTCTGACTACTACCATTTCTTTTCTTTTTTGTTTGCTTCTAGTCTTTGTACTGGTGAAATTCATGAATTTATTGAAAAAGAAAGCATTCACCAAAAAACTGCTTACAAATTATTCACAATAATCGCTACTACATTTCATTCATAAAAATCGCTTTGGTGTGCAGAACTTTCAGAAGCTAACGGAATGATCACTTTTTTTTTAATTGTGAAAGCTTGTTAAAAGCTTCACACTGCGTTGAAGCCATCTATGTGGAATTTCATTGCTTACGTTGAATCTTTACAACAGCAACTCGTCGACCAACTCAAACCGTAACTTTTGCGCGGTGTTTGAAAGAGCAGACTAAGAAGAATAGATAAACAAAACTCGAACATGCAAATAAAATCTTAATGGTCAATCTTCAGTTTTGAACAAAGTATTATCTGCATATATATCAATAAACAGTTTTATGTTTTAGTTTAATTTTGAGTTTACGGTATTTGTTAATGAGTTCAATGATTCCAAATGTATAGATATGCAAGCATAGGTGGTGATGAGTCACAAGGTGCGTTCGATGTGATTTGAAAACATTGATCTTCGGTAAAAGTTCTAACTGTTGAATTCTAATTGAATCAATCGAGTATTAATGGGGCTGATTTCACTTTACAACTTTTGGAATTTACTAAGAGGCGGAGCGCAGACTTCCGTTTCAGAATAGAATGAATGTCAATGAAATTAAATTGTCTAGATTGATGGGAAATTCTTTATTTTATAGTGCGGGTGTATAATCTGTTGGTACGAGTATCTAGTTCAATTCGTGATCGAGCGCGACTCCAATTTCACTTACTTTCGTATTGCAAAGCGCTCAAAGACAAAAAAGCAATGCCAATCCAGTGAAGTGGAATCAAGTTCGATCATTTGACGTTGAAGCGAAAGATATGGAAATTATTGTTCTTGGCATAATAAGCAGAAGAATGAAATGAATGCCGTGTATATTCACAATTCATGTGCATAAACGCGAAATAGCAATAATGTGTTTATTACTTTGGTTAGAGCTGTTGGTGCTGTCATATAACACGTTATTTCTTTCTTATTCTGTTCTTTTCTTGCTATTTTTAGCGGCTTTCTTTCTCTCTTCATATTCTTTCTGGGAAGTTGGCTATAAGCTATCGCTAACCATCAGTATTTTATGTTTTCGTTCCACCACTTCAGTACTCATCGAACCTTTGAAGCGAAAGCATCAAAACGATCAGCAACCAAAGAACGAGAAAATTTATTCAGAAACAATGTGTGCTGAAGATAAATAGTTTGAATAGTAGTGTGAGTTACAACAATCAAGTGCAGAAAGTCGAATATTTTTTTGGTGTTTCGTTCAACTGAAAAATAAAACAATTCTTAAGAAAAAATAAAATGTGGAAATTTAAAATTGTGTTGAACGAGAATTAACTGAAGAATAGTGACGACGCCCACGAAGAGAAATTGATTTTTTTATATGCGTCTTTAAATTGATGGATTTTTGAAGAGTTCTTGTGGTCTTGTTCTGAATTTGTAGAAGAAGACGATTAAAAAAAAAAACAAACAAATTAAAGTCGAACGCAAGCAAAGGAACGCCTTTACCACGAACGGCGTAAACATCAAAAAATAACGGTATGTTTAATATATGCATACACATAACGATACGTGTTCTGGTTTTTTTTACCCGTTTTATTCTTTAAATGGTTATGCGATTAACGCATTTCTCTGGTCATTTCGTGATCATAATTTTACATTTCCTCTATGACCATGATGATGTAGTCAAAGTCGGAATGCTTGCGCTTGAGGTGCTGCTGCATAAAACGATTGTTTATTTGACACGGTTCTTTTTTCGGTAAATTTTCAAGCACATTTAAATCTCAATGCGTCATCTCATTCGGATGCGGTAACAAAAATTAGCCACAAAAACGTTCAACCAAAAAATAAACCGTCTGCATTTTGCACAGCGCTCAAGCGATACCGTTACAAATTACCATGAATGTGTGATTTTCATAAGCCAAAAAATCGATATTATGCGCAGAAATATTCAGTAGTCATGCTAACGGATTGAATAAGTACAGCTTGAAATATACAATACGCTTAATTAAATTCAATTTGTAATTAACACATTTGGATAGGTTTTACAAGACTTCATTATATTCGTTGGAAACGGTACTCTTATTCTATACGCGTGTGTAATGCACATATATGATTAAAAGTCAAATTAGACGAGATTCCAGCGTTCGTCGAAAATCTCTATATACTATGAAACTTTAATAAGCGAAATTCCATCATCTGACGTCTGTTTTTAAAGTACAAAGTGTCGGTTTTCTTTTATTACCAACATGATTAAATGCTCGCAGCATCTTACTTTTCATGTTACTTCTATTCTACTTTCCTTTGTTTTGTTTTATTTTATGTTGTTTTGTTCATGAAATCGTTTGTTGAATGAACAATTTTGAAAAATAATTTTTAATTTTTAATACGTTTTTTTTCTCTTCTTCCATTATTTCCAATTGTAAGCGAATTTACAGTGGTGAATATTATTCGCCTCACTTCAGTGAAACCCATCAAAAACTCGTCTAGAAATCAGAACAATTTCAGAACATGTGAAAATTTAATGAAGTTATCAAAATAAAAAAAAGAGAAAAGCGTTCAACAATTTCGCAGCGATAAAATGATGGAATGAATCGTAAAAACCATGATCTTAGATTAGAGGCTGGTTCCACGTTCACACAATATATGTATAGATGTTTGTTGATAAATAATAATAGAAAAGAACGGCATCCAAATGAAACTGTCTCAATCTACTCAATTCGTATTCGAGTATTGGTTAAAGATCTGATTTTATTGGGAAGAAATTACATTTTCCACAAAAATCATGCTGTTTTTTTTTACATAAACCAAATATTTGACTATGAAAATCATTCGTGCGCACACACGCCGTAACACGCCTAAACAAAATGTAAGCGAGCCCCATTTTTACACCAATGTGTGAGTGTGCCACATTGCGCCAACAATGCATCCAAATAAATACAAAAAATGCTACACGATATAACTGATTCACATGTTATACCGCGGAATAGAATAAAGAAAAACAACAGTAACACAACAAGAATAGTAGTGACAGCATAGAAAATAGGTCGCGCCATCCAAGTTTAATGGTAAGGTCAAGACGTATACAATAAAAAAAGAAAGCAGAAAAACGCATAGTAAATACAGAACCAGCACCGTTCAAACACGTTTTAAACGCAAACAACGAAGAACAAAGCGGAAGAGGGGATTCTCATTTTGAAAAAAAAAAAAAAAAAAATAATATAATAATAATCGTATATTCTTGGAGTGTATGAGATAAAATGCTAACAACACACTACCGTAGTAATTCTACATTCTTCTGGTGAATTCCAAGCGTTTGTTCACCGTCATCCGTCAACTATAGACCACAATCCATTCGCAGCTCATTATATGCACATATGAATGTGATAAACGTATTAATGGCATCAACCAACTGTTTCGGATTAAATAATAAACGAGCAAGTCTTCATCGACAAAAAAATACACGACGGAAATGGAATATCTGCTTGTTATGTATATCTTGTGTGCCATTAGTTCAATGACTTTGCATTGCATACGCTGGAACTTTGTGTTTTCACTTGAGACTTTTCACCTACATACACGCAGATTGAAAATTCAAGAGAAAAAAATCTCAAGATTTACATGGACTCTCAAGATTATTTATCACAACAATATAAGATCTCATCTTTGTCAAACACGATGGACAGTTACCATTCTTTTCGGGTTAATCATTAATCGCGAGAGAAATTTCGTCAAAACGAATGCTTATTTGTTTCGTTTGCTTTCGAGATCAGATTGCGAAGCACTTCTTTTCTTGGAAGCTGTCAGTAAGAGTTTGTCACGCGTACAATATTCTATTAGAAGTGTGATACTTGAGCTACAAAAATAAACATACTTTCTATGAATTTACTGATTCGGAGAAAAAAAAAACGTTCACTGTGTAAAACGGTGCCAAATTTGATTTGTGCCTTTTTATACGTTTTTCTTTTATTCTTTTCTATTTTAAATACAATGATAAAATCAAAGTGCCAAAGATAATTTGTTTTCTATTTCAATTTGCAGAAGAAAAAAAACCGTCCAGCCATCATCATGAATTGGATTTGTAGTTTGATTGTATTTCAATACACAATACTGCTGTTGCAAGGTAGACCTGAGACTAGCACTTCATCTATGCCCGAAAAGATCACATTGGAAATGGAGCATCCGTCATCAGTGTCAGAAATTTTAACAACACTAGAAAGTGGCCTGCCATCAGAGATTGTTAGTGCGGACACGAAAAAACATTTATCGGCCAATGTCGCTATTTCGACTCCATCACAAACGACCAAACGTGTCATGTCCACAACACAATCGCGAAAAAACGAACCAATTAAAAAAGCTACAAAAGCACCTGAATTGGTCATCAGCAGCAGCAGCAGCACAATTTCAACGGCTTCGAGCGACATGGATTTTATCGCGAAAACAACAAGGTACGGAGACAATGTAGATCAAAGTAGAGACATTTTGCATGCCAAACAACTAACTGCAGATAATGTATATAAGTCTGAGCTTCAATTATCATTAGTAAATAACCCATCACTTTTGAGGCAATTAAGACAACAACAAATTAATCGCATAAATCGTCATTACTTGGCAAATGTATACAGTTACAATCCAAATTCAAATCAATTTTTTGCACAAGTTCTAACCACACCAAAACCAATTCAAGCAATTTTGTCGTCAGATTTAGAACCAGAACCAATTGCACTATCACCGAATCCGATTTCGGTTGCACAATCCACATATTATATTGTAAATCCAGATGAAATCGGTCCCATTGATAACCTCCAAACAAATGCAAATAGTTTTTTAACCTTTGACAATCAATTTAATCCAAATTATGTTAGTAGTGAAACGTATCAAGTACAACGACCACCATTAACTGTAAATATACCATATCATGAATTTCCGACGCCGTCGCCACCGCTGTTGATTAATTCAGCAAATATCACGAAATTATATTCGATCATTGGTTCAAGCACACCAGATCCGTACAATAATTATCAGGCATTGCCAACAAAACCATCGACAACACGACGTAAAGTTGTCCATTTTACTGTAACAACACATCGTTCTGTAAAATTAACTCATAAAAATGGTCACAATTCCCCACATAATACAAAAAATTCGCACAAAAATAATCAAAATTATCAAAACCATCATCATCAACAGCAGCATCACCATCATCATCACCATCAATACGATGATAGTCACGAATATTATTATGAAAATCACAAGCACACACAGAACAATGTTAAAAAACATCAATCGGAAACGGGGCAATTTAATAATAACAATCAAAATGATGTTAATCGAATTTCAATAGTTTATAATGAAACTAGTCATATTACTAGTACAAATGACAATCAAAAACCAATTAATATTAACACGACTAATTTAAATAAAAATAAAAATGAATCAATCGCTCAATCGACGACCAAAGAATGTTTGGTCACACAAAATTTGGCCAATCCACATCTGGAAAATGTGTGTAGTTCAAATGATTTGAAAATTATAATTCAATTCGATGGAACCAAAATACCAAATGCAACCGAAAAGAAAAAGAACGAGGTCAAGCCAAAATCGAAAAAGAAAAAACCCACCACAACAACAACTACTACGACCACTACGACGACGACCACGACTGTCGCGCCAGATTCATCGTCGTATGAAAGTGATGAAGTTGAAAAATATGATTATGATGATGATGATGAAGAACAAGAAGAAGATTTGGGTATTTTCCAACCGATTCAAAGTATTTTCGACTTTCTGCCATCGAATCGGGCTCGACGGCGACATAGAAAACGACCAAATAAAAACAAAGACAAGAAAAAACACGGCCAAAAATCGAGCGAAGTAATTAATAAATTTCAAACAATTGTTTTACAATCGCCGCCACCGCCGACAACACATCACGAACCAGACAAACATGATTTTCATTTGAGTAAATCATCTTTGTTAAAACTACTGGCATTGTTACCGCTATTCGGTCTTTTAAAGCCATTCTTCTTTGGTATATGGACGCTGGTGTTATCGCCAATTTTGGTGATTTCGATCGCGGGCGTCGCTCTCGGTGTTGTTCTTTATCCGTTCTTGGCGATATCTCGCAAGCAAGTCTATTATGCATCTTCGCAACGATCGCCCAGAATAGTTATTCATAAACATCCAACGCCACACTATGGCTTGAAGGCCCCATCATCAGGCATTCGCATCGCCAAATGGACAAGTGGCGAGAAACGCAGAGTCTATGCTCCTCAAAATTTAAATCATTATCGACGTTTAACGAATGGCGTACATCCAAGGCGAATCATTCCGATTCGATTCAGAAAAAATCAACAACGACCAATGCGACAGCGACGAGATACACAATTTCAACAGTGGCTTTTGATTCAAAATAATTTTAACATTCGAATTATGTCACCCAATCATGAATTTGACTACCATTAAAAACGATCTATAGATATATAAATGTAAATAACATGCTTTATTAACCTAATTTCTATTAATTCTTGGCTGGGCATCACCATATTTGCATGGACCGTATAAAAATATGTAAAAAGGTAGAAAAATAATAATAATATTTAAAATCAAAATATTGGATCGGTTTTATTGTAAAGTAACCCAAAAAAAAATCCAAAAAATTTATGCATCAAAGTCACCAAAAAACAGTGTAACTTTTTTTCATTTCCAAGCGCCAACAAATCTAACCGTAAAATATAGTGAAAAATGTTGTAAATTATGCTTTGGATGTGAGGTAGCTACATATTAGGTAACCTGCATAATAACCCGTAAAAAACGAGCTAGTCATTAACATTATAAAAGAATATTTGAAACATATTCAAATGAAGAAATAGAAAATGTGGCTGAAATTCTTTATTTCGTTTCTGTTTTCTGCACAGACTCATTGAGGAATTAAATGCTAAACAGAAATCACACGTGACAACGACACCAAAAGCTGACCCAGTTACGACCACCACAGCAAATGCTGAAAAACCAACAATCTATGACATAATCACCGAAACGGAAAAAAACCACACGCTATTCTCAAGCCGTAATCAACAGCAATCGATTTCGAGTAGCACAGTGTCACCACCGTTGGCTCTACCGTTATCATCGAAGATGCCAATGCAAAATCAAAGATCGGACGACACACCAAAAGCGATCGGTCATCACGTAGAAATGCATCATAAAGGCGGCCATCCAGGCATCGCCGAACCATTAACATGGCAACAGCTCGAATCGGAAATGTCAATGGTCGATCAAAATCTAAAGGATTCATCAACTTCAAAGGATGGCATTTCGACGTGGATTTTATTGAGTGGTAGTGACAAGCAACCATCAATGGTCGCAACACCGGCCACAACAACAATTGCTCATGTGGAAAAAGTGGACATTAAAGATGATCGTCAGAATTATCGTTTTGGTCACGCTGACAAAATCGTAAAACCAGTTAAAAATCGCGAATCAGTTGAAAATAAAAAACCAAAACCAGATAAAAAGAACAAAATACCTACTTCCACAGCCGCGCCAAAAACAACATCCCCACTATCAACAACAAGCGGCATTCTAACCGCCAGCGATTTTATGTCAACAGAACAAAAGAATCGACGAAAAGGACCGATGGTGGTCAAGGCAGGCGAGCATAAATTGAGACGGAAATTATCCACAACCACTACTGCAGCACCAATTATTTCTCATGAAAAAGTCGACAATATGCCCGTATCGGCTGAAGTAATCGAAACAACAACACCAGTCTCATTTATAGTTCTTGAACCGAAAATTGCCGGATTCGATTTGCCACAAGATCGTTCGCCGGGTACAACATCCAAAAAACCATCGAAAAGTAATGCAAATAAGAATAAACGCAAACCAGCGAAAAAGAACAAAGTAACAGCCGTTACAAAAACACCACTCAAAAATAAAGACAAACCAATTTCAACAACAATTTATAATTATTTGTCACGCGAAGTTATGCCGAGCGTGGGTATTTTGGGTGCTGGCATTTTGTTAACCGGTATTGCTTCTTACTTTTTAAGTCCATTCGGAGCATTGCGACGTTCGTATGATGAAGCCACTGATCGCCAGGATAATGTTGATAGCATTTATTCGGTAAATAACGAAGAATATGCAAGTGCAGGTTCGGATAGTGGACAACATGAAGAGGAAGTTTTTTCAAAATTCTTACAAGGAATGCCATATCGTGACGTACCGAGATATGTGAAATATTTCAAACCCGATCAACAGCATCCGAATCAAGCGATGGGTCCGAATCATGCAATGGGTCCTTATCGTCAACAGGTGCGAGTTCAACCACAGGCATCGAATGTCGTACCAAAATACAGCCCATACATGCGTTATCGTACCGCACCCAGTCCACATTACAATTCAGCCCAGTATAATCCACAACAAAGTTATCCAACCTACCGTAATCATCAGATGAGCACACAGCCAGCGGTGCAACCGCAACCGGCCTCACCTGTTTATAATCCACAATTCCATGAAATGCAAAAGCAAAAATCATTTGCCAACAATATGGACACAATTCTGAAGCATCAAACCATCATTTACGGAAAAGCAACCAATGAAAATGCTGTTGAAGAAAAATCAATTGGAAGCGATATTCAAGCTGAAGCCGACGACGAGAAATTGCCACAAGCCGAAGGTCAAATAAGCGATATAAATGAAAATGAAACGATGGAAGATGTTGCAGCACAAATGCAACGTCGAACAAATACATATGTTGTGGGAAGTGCAATCACAGACACACAGCCAGGCGAAGCGGTTGTTTCAGCATCAATGACCGCATCAATCGATGGTTTACCGTCGAAAGGCATTGTAGAGCCAGTTATCACAGTTACAGCGTCATCACATGGGCCGAGACGTCGACGTGAAATCGATGCCGTAACGCAAAAATCATCAAATAAAACGATCGAGCATGAAAATCAACAACCATCATCATCAACAACAACAACAACCACAACCACTGCACCGCCAACGCAAAGCACACGCTTATATAGTGCAACGGAATATTCCAATTTAGTTTCCGAATACAATATGCTTAGAGAGAAATTCATGTCATTCGATCGTGACTATTCGAATGCAGAAAATGAAAAAAAAGTTGAAAAGAAAATGCAAGCCGAATTTAAAAGCATAACCACTGATCATGATGCACTGAAAAAAGCCGTTGACGGTGCAAATGCGATTGAAACATTTGAAAAACAAGTGCGTATACGCGCTAAAAATTATGAACTTTCGGTAGTTTTGAGAACGGGCATTGCAACATTGCGACAACGAATTAAGGTTTTAAACGAACTCGTCGAACATCCCGAAGACGATCGAATTATTGAAAAAATTAATCGTCGCAATGGCAGTACCGAAACTAGCTCAACATCAAACTCAACGACGACCACAATTGCACCAGAACTTGATAACGGTTTTGTTGGATTTTTGAAATTGCTTCAGTTGAAAGCACAATTCGGTTTAAATTTACTGCAGAATATACGACCCAGTTTTGAGCGAGCATTTGAAGAAGTTTTCAAAAGACCATATGAAAAACTACATTAAATGTTCATGCCAATTTCTCTGCACATTTTTGTTTACAATTGAAGAAGAAGAAAAAACCCGTCGTCAAGTCGCCACAAAGCGACAAGGTATTCTAATCATAAAACGTGCGTTAATTACGCATTCTTTTTTTTACATGAATGAATGATTTAAGACAGAACAAAAACATAATTACTTTTATAGAAAAGAAAAATTCTACAATTTGAGATAATAAAAAACAAGACTAAAAAAGATGATGGCACACTTGCGTGAAACAGGAAAAAACACGAATGGAAAAAAGTGAATTTTCAGCTGCCGAAAAAATGAAAGCAAAACAAAAACCAATTTAATTAGATTTTGTCTATTTTCGTTTTTCTTTCACTTCTCAATTCACAAAGCTTAGGTCTCAATAGCTCATTTCTAGCGGAAGATCCGATGACCGAAACTGATTCTGAATTATATTTTTTACTTTAAAAATCCAAATGTGTCTAGTATATTCTATAATTAATTACAGAATGCTTCAATATTTTTTAGCGTAGTTCAAAATCTTGCAAGCAGAAAAAAAATTAATTATTAAGCTATTTATTTTGATAAAATGGAAAAAAATCTTCTGAATTCGAATTATAATGTTCATTTTATTTTTGTAGCGAAAAAAATACATACTGTTTAGATTAAGTGAATTCTCCAAATAATAATGTTAAGCATCACTCATAATAAATCATATAAAATGCACTAAACTAACATGAACGACGAATGCATCTTAATAATAAATTAAATTCGAAATGAAATTAAAAATGTCATGTATGTTTGTTTGCCAGTTTTTTTTTTGTAAAAGATCCGAAATTTCTAAAAATTAAGATTGTACTAAGCCCAAATAAAACTGATCTTTCCTTTATATTGAATAAAGAGAAATTGAAAATAAAGTAAATAACATATTATTTAGACATAGACTTAGACTTAGGCCGTCTCAATTTGGATTTTGGCGGATGATTGGCACATTCGGAAGATAGAATATGTTTACGAAGATCAGGAACTCGTGGTAACTTCTTTGAACACAGTCCACATTTAAAGTAAACGATGCCGACTGCTTGGCGAGTTGGTTTTAGGCAGAATTTCCTATGTTTGTTAACATCTTTATTTTCAACGATGATGCCATCACATTTGCATTTAAACTTGTACTGATGAAGATGTTTTTCTATAACATGCATATTATACGTCCTGATACTAACAAATCTTTTGTTGCAATGCTTACATGCATACCTGCAATGTACAAGACATTTTTTAAAAATGCAAAAGTCAATAAACAACAATAAATGACATAACATACGGTTTATATCCCAGATGTGTACGCATATGAGTTACATGCAAGATGGCAAACGATGGAAACGTCGTCTTACACAAGTAGCACTCATACATTCGTTTACATTGAAATTCGTGTTTCTTTTTGTATTTATTGTCCGAAAATTGTTTGCTACAAAAACTGCACTTCACCAATCCGATTTTCGTATGAGATTTGGTGTGTATTTTTAAATTGATTTTGGTCTTAAATTTTCTTGGGCACAGTTTACAATGGAATTTTGCCTCTCCCGTGTGTTTTGTAACCATGTGACTTCTTAGTGTTTTTGCGTTTTTCGATGTTAATTTGCAAATATAGCACTCCATTCGACGTACAAAACACAATGTAAAATGTGCATTTCTCTGAGCTCTAGTTGCAAAACGGCAGTTTTGACAATTTGGACAGACTAATGAGAGTAAATGGGGATGCTTGTCGTGGAAATGACGCGCCAATATTTTATTTGATGAAAATGACTGTGGGCAGGCCATGCATTTTGCATACCGTTCTCCAACGTGTTTCAAATCGAAATGGCGTCGAAACTTATTGAAACTCAAGCCAAACTTCGTGAACTGACATAGATGACATTCGTAACGGCGTTTGCGGCATTTTCCCTCGTGCTCTTCTAACTCGGCTGAATTCAAGCAACGACGATGACATCGTGAACATGCAAAGTTGAATAATTCTCGATGGCGTTGCATGTGGTGGCTTAACGCCTCAGGACGTGGATAAAATTTGAAACAATGCGTACATTGATACGGTTTTTCACCTGTAGATCATTTTTTTTTTATATTTATTATTTAGGGAAGAAAAAATAAAATAGTTACCAGTATGTTTTCTCATGTGCATTTGCAGCATTTCGAAGGATAATTTTGGATAGGAATATTTACCTATGGAGAAATAAAAGTAAGTACAATGAATGTCATGAATCAAAATGAAAAAAGAAGAAACAATGAATCGCAATTATGAATACTTACATAAATGACACTCGAAGCGATTTCTATTAAGGCAAGTAATCTCATGTTTTATCTTTGACTCTTCGGTAGCAAAAAGAAATTTGCATCGTGAACATTTGAATGGCATTATTTCGGGATGGTGTTGCATATGAGTTCGGAGACTACACTTTGTTAAGAACCATTCGTTGCAATGTTTGCATTGAAACGTTCTTTCACCTGTATGCAAGCGTTGCATGTGTGATTTTATCTTATGCATGTGCACACGGTTCTCTGTTTCTTTGCACAGGTGACATTCAAATGTGCGTAGTCTGACGCATTTCAATTTATGGTCCTCAAAATCCTTTAAATGCATTAAATTTTGAATTGAATTTTAATTTTTATTTTGATTAGAGTTACCTTTTTCTTGAAAAAGTTCACTCTACACAATGGACATTTGTAAACTTTTTTCGTTTTATGGTCGGTTTTTACATGACATATAAGCAAAGCACGCGTGAAAAATCTTTCTCTGCAATGTCTGCATCTATGTAGAAAAAATAAAATAGTTACCGGTATGTGCGCAAAGGATAATTTTGGATAGGAATATTTACCCATGTGGTGCATAGCCGGTATGTGATCGCATATGTTCCTTCACGAGAGATCTATTCCTAGTGGTTTGTTCAAAATCACAATACAGACACTTCACCATTTTGACTCCATCTCGTTCAATTTCCAATGGCTTTGGTTCAGTGTATTTCTTAGACTTGTTCCGATTCTCGCTAGATTTTTTCTCTTTCTTTTTTGTCTTCGGTTTTTTCGATGGCAATTTTTTAATACTTTTATTCTTGCTCTCCGTTTCATTTGCAATTTGCATCATTTCTTCACGAAATGCATTTATGGTTGCTTCATCTACATCGGGTTCTGTTTTTATAATCTCAAGCTGTGATATCAATCCAGACTCCGCTTCAACTGCAGCTTTATTTGCATCATTTTCAGTGTATATTTTTGTTGTTGGAAATTCCATTTGCTCGTAATCATATTCAACTGGCTCGGTTTTAATTTCCACATTATCAACAACAAACTCTGGTAAAATGTTACTTGAAAAATTCAGTTGAAATTGTTTCTTTTGTGGTTCCAATTCACTTGCACAGTGCACTTGTGGACGTTTTTTCGGCATTTTTTCTTAATTTTTCGAAATCGAATCTACATACGAAAGAAATAATTATCAACAAAATCAATTTGATTGTGAGAAAAAACGCCAAAAGGCGTATTCTCTTACGATGTAACGGGAGAATCTCTTAAGCACATTTAGTGTGATTATTTTGACGAAAACAAACCAAACAAACTTGGTTGCAACGCATTTGTCAAATCATATGTTTTTTTACTTGAACTGAGCTACCGGCAACGAAGCGACATCTTAATAATACGTCAAATTAGTTTCAACATTCAATTACAAAATAGCGCGATATTCGAACCAAAAAAAGATGATATTTTTTTTTTAAAGAAACCAATACATTTTCATTTCGAATGAAGAACTTTCGAAATTAAATCTAAATAATTATATCGAAAAAATAAATGGCACACAAAATTAGTAATAAATAACTTGGCACATTTTGGCATGTACGCCATCTTGTGGGAAATAGTTATACTATTTGTAAAATTGAAAAAAACCTGTCTATCCAATATGAATTCACCGAGTTTTTTGTTTAAACTATTTATTATTACATTCACATTGGTTTTATAACGCCAAGTTGTTTGCAGATGACTGATGTATTCTAACGTAACATTGACATTTTCCGAAACAATATTTTTACATTATTATTATTACTGACAAATTGCTATCTGTGAGAAGGAAGTTTTGATTTGATTTTTCTCTAATGTTCTCCAATCATCTCTATATAATAGATATCATTTTGTTTTTTTTTTATCCAGTTTTTTTTGTTCAGTTTATGTTCAATATTATCAGCGTCTGATTGAAATAACAAAGTGTGTATGTCTTCCTCTAATAATTTTGCGGTGTTTTCTCTTCCACTTTTATCATACTCACATGATAGATTCATGAAACGACTAATAAGAAGGAAACTTATTCTTTGAACTTGACTAATTTTCTCGTTTGTTTAAGGGTCAATTTACTCTCTTCCGTTTTACATTTATTATCGCAACGCAAACCCATTCATTGATTGCATGAACATTTTACCTAGACCTTGAATTTTATCACTGCCATTGGATTAACTCGTTCAGTACACATGCATTTGTGGATGTACGCTTAATTTTGATAAATAGTTTTAAAAAAAGACTGCTTCACATTTCATATTGCGAAAATATAAGCGAAATTTGTTTGAATGCAATGCCAACATGCTCTATTAATCACAAGAAAATTTGTGTTGTTTATTGACTGGGCAATGCTTCACACAATTTAAATCGAATTTCTATTCTTGGTGATGCGGTTTAACAAGAGATTCATTATATTATTAATTAACAGCCACCACAGAGAGGTTACTGGTCACAAATTCTGAGTTCTTAATGAGGTTTAATTTGTCTAAAAATGTATATCTAAAATAAAATGAATCAAAATACGCATACCAGTCTCACGCATCGATAATTGCATTAAAAGTACAAATGAACAATGTAAAAGGTTGTTGTAACCGTTCGTTAATTGATCGTATAATGTTTGTGAATGTGTGACAAATAGCACGAAATGTTGCATCGTTCCAATAAAGACTTAATCAAATACTCTGCCAGTTAAAAACTACTGCACTGACCTGTATAACTCTCAACTTGTAAACAGTCCGAAGCTCATTTTGGCCTTTTTTGGAAGTAAAGCCATTCGAACCGGAAGTTTTACGCTATAAAATTTCCCAAATGGTTTCAGTGTCAACGAGACAAAAACTATAAATATTTGATAATTGTTTGTGACTGAAAACCATTATTAAAGGAAATTCGGTGAAATGAAATAGATTAAAACAATCATCACTATAATTTATTGAGATGATTTTATTTTTGATGCCCATCGGTTTTGCAATGACAGAGCGTCATATTTCATAGCCGAAAACCGGGTGCAGTGACTGGTAACAAAAACAAAGAAACAAAAAATCGGTTAATTATTCGGTGGTCTGTGCTAATGTCGCTACATTCAGCGTCAATGTTGTCTCTGGAACCGTACAGTGTGTTGGTCATACATTCATATGTTTGTAAAATTTGAATCAATTGTTGGTAATCAACGGTTTGTGTACAAAACGCGTGATCAGATTATATGTCGTGTTGAGAGCACGAAGCATCATCGAGCAAACCTTTTATAACAATAAACTACTATCAAACACAATTTATTAAATTATAACATAAGAGTAATGGTTATGGCGCGCATTGTGTCGCTCTTTTTCGCCTTCAACTCCCACGACATGTAAAAAAAATGTACTAGACAAACACACGCGTTCATATATGTATCTCGGAGCAGATCACATCACTGTGCGCTATCAAACGATGTGAATTTATGTTTACAATCTAGTTCGTTTTCGCTGGTTGATGGGAGAACAAAATAAAAACGTTTCGGCTGTGCGCAACCATCGAACGAAAAGCACCCCAACTGTACTGAAAAGAGATCTTTTCCTTACTGATACATTTTTAAATCGTTGAATTAGTATTGGTGATAAGTGAAAAAAAAAATATGATTCAATTTTCAATTGACATAGTCGTGTAAGACTTAAAACCTTTTCAGGATGAGCATGTTGCTGCAAAAAGAGTTAGAGTCATTGGAGCTCACATATCCAATTGAATCTAGCACAGTGTCAAATAAAAACGAGACTAGCAAAGTGCCCGTCGCTGCAATCAAAGTACGAGCTCATTTTTTTATTTTCGTTTTGAGTCAGTTGAGTGACGTGCAATTTTATTCTCTTCTTTTTAAAAAAGCGAAATCTATCGTCACCCACTGAGGATCAAATACTTTTGCGACATGATGAAAAGAAAGAGAAACTATTTATGCATCCCGGAGTCATTGAGGAAGAACCAGACTCTATGGATAGTATAATAAGCGATCCATCATCATTTCCGATTACCGTCTTGCCTCCTTCGACGGCTGGCGGCACTGGTGTTCTTATTCGAAATTCGACTCAAACGTCATTCGGTCGGTTAAGCCGAATTAGCACCAATTCAAAGTATGTATTTGATGATTGTGCACAACAGACGAATGTAATAACTAAATGTGATTTAATTAGAATATTTAGTAAACATCAAGTGAAATATTGTCTATCAGTTTGGTGATGATTTATGTGATTATGTGTGATGATTCTATTTTAGTTCAATACCAATTTAATTTTAACTCTCGGGAGGAAAATTAACATTTTCTTGGATAAATTTTTAGATTTTGTCACAATGACACTCGCCAAAAGTGATTCAATGTGTAGTTTATTTATTTTCAGAGTACGTGAACAAAAACAAACTATTGACTGATAAAAACAAATATGACAAGTTTTTGCCAGCCAATTATCACATTTTGTAAATACTTTCACAGTTTGTAAATTCATCTAAATTCGAAAATCTATTCTAAATACTTTCGAATTGGATCGAAAGTAAAAATTAACTCCAGTAACATTCCAGAAAATCGACCAATAGTAGTTGCCTGTTGCTTCATTGCACGCGAGAATTTAATTTTTAGAAATTTTGCTTTACAAAGTGCGTGTCAATTTATAAATTGTGATCTCTTAAATAATTTAATCATAGAAATGCTACATAACAACCAACGCCGTTTACGCTGCAAAGGTTAATTACGAAGTGATGCTGGAAATTAGTGAAAACCTTACATAACTGGTTGTGTGCGTGTTAATTTTTTTTGTCATATTGTGCTTTTTACCCAAAGAATGATTGAAAATTGTCACATCCTGCAGTTCTTTGGTTGTTTCTTAAAATCTATTCACTAAATGTTGCGAAAAATAGTAACGTACATAGCTAATAATTGAGCACACACTCGTCAAGTCTTTTAAATATTTACTTTGAAGTTGTAAAATTGTTATTTAATCCATTATCACCATTCAACGAGTTTTATTGAGTGGAACAATACGGTCATCTGATCTGTCACTTCTACGACAATTTTTTTTCTTCCGAATTCAAAAATGTTGTTTATCACTTATTTATACTTGACTCTTGTAATGTGGATAAAATCCACAACTGATTTGTTTTTTGGAGTAAAAATAACAAATGTTATCATCACAAAATTTAACAAGTACTAAAATCAAAACAAAATGCCACATCAAACATTCTGAGATGACTGTTTCGCGTGAGTTTTTCTTGTAATAAATAAAGTAAAATTCAACGACAACAATAATGATTCAATCAAGAGAAGTTATAAATTGATGTTCAAATAAGTAGAATTATTTGATATTTCACATGTTTTTTACGAAGAGCTCTTGAAAAATGACACAGAATTCTGTTGTTTACATTTTGCGGAAAGAACGTCAAGCTCAAAAAACCGCCTCTCTTATAATGTATTTGGTCAATAAAACAATTATTAGGTTGCGAGTATGATAAGGCATAGAACGAGAGCGAAAATTATACGATGAGTGATAAATACAGCTTGCGACAGCATTCATTTAGTCCGGATAAGCTCCTCAATGTCGCCGTAGCACAAACAGCGTCAATGTACTCATTCTGAAAAGAGAAATAAACAGAATTTTGTGTGTATAATTTTGCGTGATGATTTTTATCATTCCAATTCAACGAGAATCAACAGTTTTGATAATTCTATTTATGATGTACAATTAAATCTGCATCGCAACTTATTTTCAAATTGTTTTGCAGCAAAGTGTTGAAGATACAATAAAATGCTGCTTTGATAAAAATTGGGCTTTGTAATACGTGAAGTTTATTTCACTGCAGTTTTGTCCAGAGGTTTTATGTGATAATTTTGAACGAAAGTTATCGAATTTCAATGATGAACGGCGGAAATGGTGCAAACCATCGTTCACCTGAATCAATTCACGGTGAAGACACGCGGCTAATGTCGCTCACATCACAGGCACAGATTTGGCCAAATTCGCCAATTACACATAATCCATATGATACAATATCTTCACCAGGGGCGTATTATACAACAATTCATTCTACAAGCTCACGAAGGTATCGTTAACATTACTACGTATGCGCAGCATGTATTTTAGATGGGAGGAAGTGCACATACCAATGTTAACGATAATACAAACAAATATAATCGTTACAAAAAGAATTATAAGGTGTGATTCCGTACGAACGTCTTTAAAACATTTGAATATTTAGAAAAACTAACAGTTTTTCAACTGAAAATTTACAAAATTGTTTGAATGAAGTTTATTTTTGTTCGAAGCAATAAACTACAAAAGGTCATTTGTAAATATATTATTTTGGTGTTTATGTGAATTTTTTTTAACCAAAAACTATCATGTGTTTAATTCGAGTATTACAGATCAGTGTGTCCATAACATATAGAAATAGCACTAAATAGTGTCGATATCTATACTATATTGGTCCACTATATATGTAAGATATTCCGCAAGACACCGTAGCTCACGATAGAAGTGAGTGCGGACGGCAAACATGTTGACGCATACACACAGTTCTTTCTACTGCCGCATGGCAATTTGTGATTTTTTCCGTCTACACTGGCTTCGATCGTGCGATACGGTGCCGTGCGGCAATATCTTTCATATATAGTGGACCGATATAGTATAGATATCGACACTATTTAGTGATATTTCTATATATTATGGACACACTGTTACAGATAATACATTTTCACGGTCAATTTTCTAGATAACGCATTAGAAGCGAATTATTTGTTTGGACATTTGAACACTTCACTAAAGGAATGTTGACATTTTTGCTCAATGTATCTGTAGTACATGGGCTATAAAATAAGTTACCGTCACTGTTATCGCGATAACAATTGATTCATTCATGACCCCATGACGTAGATAAGACGGCAAAACATTCGTCAGCTAGACGTTCACGTAAATATGGAGCAATATGAATATGAACGAATGTTATGATTCAGAAAGAACTTAAACGGAAACATTATTATCAAGTTGAGATGAAAGAAAAAAAACGAGCTTTAACATAGCGGCTTTTTTATAGTTTAATTAAGATTTATGAGACATGGCGGTGCGTTATTTGACCGATAGTAAATGAGGCAAAACAAATCTCCCTTTTTAATCAATTTAATATGATCACCACTTCACCTGAGCACTTTACGGACACAATCATGTGATATTATCATTGTATAATCGTAATTTATAGCGATTTATTTCTTTTAAACTAAATAGAAGCCGAAATTATCGTCCAGGAAGCTACCGAAAAATTAGAAGACGTGCCGTTTTAAAAAATGGGTAATGTATTCAATTGCTAATGGATCAAATTGCCAATTTAATTGATTTCTTTGATCTAATTTCAATGCAGTGATTGCAATGTTGTTCAAAAGAAAATCTCGCAGAGGAGAATACGTTTCTTGCAAGATATTTTCACAACACTCGTCGACTCGCAGTGGCGATGGACCTTGATTGTGTTCGCTCTTAGTTTTGTTCTCTCTTGGCTTTTCTTTGCGATGATATGGTGGCTCATCGCGGTCACTCACGGTGACTTAGAAGAGATGCACTTGCCCAGCGAACAAGGTTTGTCACTGCTCTTTTTTACTACAATGAGCGGGAATGAATTATTATTCATTAAGCCATGAGATAAACGAAGGGAATAAATTTCAATTGTATTCAAAGGTTGAGCAACCAATCTAAACATACTTGAATGCATATTTAAATCACAAATTATATTCCCCAAATTGTTAACTCATGACATATACTTCCCGCATTAATTTACGACAATTTATCGATAAATAAACATTTAAATTATAGTAGACAATTTTGGACTGCAATCATTTTTTCAATTAAATTTTTTTATTCCATATTTAGCAAAGAATGAATGGGTTCCGTGTGTGTTCAATATATACAGTTTTGCATCATGTTTCTTATTTTCAATCGAAACTCAGGTA